GGTGGCACTGTGCCTGTAGTCTCAGATACTTGGGAGGCTGAGGCAAAAGGATCGCTTGAGCCCAGGAGTTTGAGATTGCTGTGAGCTAGGCTGACACCATGGCACTCTAGCCTGGGCAACAATGTGAGACTCTGTCTCAAAAAACAAAACAAAACAAAAAACACAGCAATCTTAAATAAGAATGTGATTACAAATACATATAACCCACATTAGCTTGCCACAGTTTGCCCAATTTTTTCTTTCTTTCAAAAATATTTATTAAGTCTCTTGTGAATGCCAGGCACTAGTTAGGCTGTGGGAATACCAAAGTCAATGAGATAGACACAGTCCCTTCCCTTCTTGGAGTTTTTTTAATTTTTTATTTTTTAAGGGCCTTCCAGTAAAGACCGGAAGACCTGCTAGACAAATTCTAAAAGAGCTGTTACACTTTGGAGCTTTATGTTCTAGTACAAGTTAGGTGTCTAACTTGACCAATGAATCAAATAGATCTTTTCTATTGGAATTTTCCAATGTATTTTTTCAGTCTAGTTTCATTTCCTTTCTCCAAGTCACCAGAATCTAATACAGAAATATTTGCTTGATTTTACACTTCAGGGTTCCGTGAGACTAGTTTCTCACTTCCTGGGCAAATATTACAGGTCAAATGTCATACAGAGACTTCTCTGCCTGTGTCACTCAATCCTGTCCTTTTTTTTCCCCATTTCAAGTTTTCTTATGTTTTCTAAATCGCATTTTTTTTTTTTTTTTGCTATTAAGATTTTTCTTTTAATATGCCATGAGATAGCTTGATTGTATATTTTCCAAAGTATTTTTCCAGCCACATCTTCCCACCCTTCCAAGAGATTTCACCAGTCTTTCCAATGCAATAAAAGATGCTGGATTATAGTTCTGTCCTTTTCTTTTTGGAAGCAATATAATACTAATGACTTTATGGTAATACACTCTTATCTAATAAAGAAAAACATTTACAAATATCAGAAACCCAGTTTTGTAACATTTGCATTAATTTTGAACTGAATCAGCATTTTGTGGGTTTTAAAAAAGGGCAGAAGTTTGACTCACGACTTGCTGATAAACACATTTCTGCTGAGGGAAGGAGAAGGGAGGGAGATTAAATGCTGCATTTTCCATTGGCCCAAAAAGTGCTAATTTTACAAAGGGATACATCAAAAGCAAACATGCAATGGTTGTTTAAAACTTTTACTGCAATATAACAATGAAGTAAACAGTATTAGACACCTACCAATTTTTCCCAAAACAAACAAAAAATGTAAACAGGAAAATAACTCTGCCTATTCTTGTACAGCTTTTCAAATCATGTTAGAAGGGTCTCACATTCAATGATCAAGAAATTTTAAAATAGCAGTAATTATTTTCATCTTAAGAAAAGTTTCCCTTTCTCCCCTCCCACCCCAAATATTTAACATGAAAGAATGGGCTTCCTTACACATTAATTTTATACTTATTTGTGAAGCAGAAAAAAAAGACAGGATTGAGTGACACAGGCAGAGAAGTCTCTGTATGACATTTGACCTGTAATATTTGCCCAGGAAAGTGAGAAACTAGTTCAACGAGAATCCTGAAGTGTAAAATCAAGCAAATATTTCTGTATTAGATTCTGGTGACTTGGAGAAAGGAAATGAAACTAGACTGAAAAAATACATTGGAAAATTAACCATCAATAATTTGGCATTTCTGTTTACAGTTGCTACAAAATTTTTTAAAATTTCACAAAGCCATTATCCAGTGTTGCCATGAAACAGAGACTGTAAATCCTATAGTAGCAAGATTCTTTCTGGAAATGTTAAGTCAAGAAAATATAAAGCAGGGATACACTAAGTTCTCGATCTAGTACACTAAAAAGAGTGAAACCTAGGAAAAGTTACCTACTGTTTTATAGAAGAAATAAAGACCTGCAAAAGCTGATTTTTGGTTGTATAATATTTTACACACTGTGTGGAGTCGTGGCATCTGATAATTGCAGCAGACATGCACTGTATTTATCCCTGCCCTATATCCTAGATCCCTCCCTCCCACCGACAATCTACTACCTTATACCAAGTATTGTGGATATGAGCCCAAGTCATCCCAGACAATCCAGTGAACAAAGTTAGTGTAATGCACTGGTGTGATGTGTGAGATACAAAAAAAAGTCCCTTTCAATCTTCATCAAAGTTCTGCTGTAGAGAAAATTGGCAGCCAAATTCTCATTCTTCTCACAAGCAAAATATGCTTGTATCAAAATCCTTCAGGAAATCTAATGCCTTTAACCTTTCTATAGCTTCTTTTTCCTGAGGTGTTACTTGAATGTAGTTCATATGACCGCTTCCAGCTTCTGCAATTCCTCCACTGCCCCTCCACCTCCTCCTCCTCCTTGACCACCAGCTTCTGAACTGGTTCATTTAACATCTGAATAAAATTGGCCTGGTGCTGCGCTCAATTTGCTGCAGTAATGAGATCTCTTCGGGCCGTTATCGAGGATTCTCTCGGCCTATCTGTTGTAGCAGCGCGGGAAGCAGGGAAGGATTCTGTTGAATAATTTGTCTCATCTGTTGAAACTGAGGCTGATTCCGTAAAAATTTCAAGAGGATGTCCTCCAGAACTTGTTGTTGTAGTTGTTGCTGTCGAAGTTGCTGCAGCTGCCGCCACTGCTGAAGACTGAGGAGCCCCAGTACTAGTCGCCTGAGGGGGGTCAACCACAGCCTGACTTTCTCTATCTCCAGGGATTCCCATTAAAAGATATTCCACTGCTCTGTCAGGGTTGTTGAAACTGGCTCTCAGGGCTGCAATTACTTCTTCTCGTTCATAACCCATTGACATGATCTCAGTTACCATATTCTCATAAGACTGACCTGTCACAAGTGCACTTGTTGCATCTTCAAAAAGGTTTGACCGAGAGGAATCTCCTGATGTACTGTCAGTTGATGTTGGGCTAGTAGCCACTGGTGTCTCTGCTGGCTTTTCTGCAGGTTTCTCCTGTTTAGTTGCACTAGCAGGTGCAGGTGCTGTCGTTGAGGCTGGAGTGATGGGCGCAGGTGTGGAAGTGGGAGCCAAAGCAGGGGCAGAGGTTGGGGCCTGAGCCACAGTTGTTGCTGTGGAGGAAGTAACTGGTGTAGTGGTGGCAGGATTTGATTGCTGAGTTGTAGTTGGTGCTGATGTTGACACTGCTTTGGGTTTTGTCACCATAACCACCACCAAGGTTTTTCTCATCAATTTTATATTCTTTGAGAGCAGTATCATCATTGAGGATTTTGCCTGCATAAATTAATTTTTGACCTGCTACCGGAAAGGCATCTTTTCCCTTTTCAGATTCAATCTTCTCTTTCAGTGCTTTCACCGTCTCCTCTGGGTCGATGTCTATCTTGAAGGTCTGCTGCTGGAGGGTCTTCAGGGTGACCTGCATGGTGCCGCCGCGCAGCTCCGCTGCCCGGCCTGCGCCGGGTGCTGGCCGCTGGGCGGGGTCTGTGGCCTGGCGGGGACCGGGGTCGCCCGCGCTCCTCGCGCTCACAGGATGGTGGCCGCTATCATCGTGACTCCTAAATCGCATTTCTTTGAGAAGCCTCTTTGTATAGCATTCTTTTTTTTTTCTTTTTGAAGTACTCTATCAACCAATGTATAGCATTCTTAACTCTCACAAGAGGCTCCCTGCCTGTGTCTGTCACAGGAGTCATGAGGTTTGCCATAAAATGCCACATGCCTGAGGCTCTTCATATCTCCTTGTCCACTCAATCATTAGCAGAGCTAAATGAACCTGACCTTCCTTTAGCTTCAAAGGAAACTTCAAAATCTGTCATGAAGAGGCTTTTACTTTTTACCAAAAGCCTTTATCTTAAACATTCACAGGCTTTGAAAGTAAAAGCAGAAGTGTTATTTTGAGGAACTTAAGAGTGAATTATAAAAGAGACTGTGTCTATGGAAACAAATTGCTAATCAACATTTCTGAAACAATGGTTAAAGATGATACCAGGTCACCTAAAGGTTGTGGTAGGAGAATTCTCTCAACAAACACTCAAATCAGATTCTTGGTAGAATAGTTTAAGAATTATAATTCATTTTTATATAAAAGGGAAGCATTTTAAAAATTACTCCACTAAAAGAAATCATTGAACTGATCTACTGCCATCTCAAGGAATGCAGACAGGCTGGCACAGTGGCTCAAGCCTGTAGTCCTAGCACTCTGGGAGTCTGACACCTGTAGTCCTAGCACTGTGAGGCCGAGGTGGAAGGATCCCTTTGATGTCAGGAGTTTGAGACCAGTCTGAGCAAGAGTGAGAGACCCTGTGTCTACTAAAATACTAAATACAGAAACAATTAGCTTGGCACTCCAACTGAGGGAGGCTCTGCCTCCAAAAAATAAAACAATTATGCAAACAAACAGAAGTGAAATTTTATTTATTTATTATTTTTATTTATTTATTTTTTGAGACAGAGTCTCACTCTGTTGTCCAGGATAAAGTGCCGTGGTGTCAGCCTAGCTCACAGCAACTTCAAACTCCTGGGCTCAAGTGATCCTACTGCCTCAGCCTCCCGAGTAGCTGGGACTACAGGCATGCAGAAGTAAAATTTTTAAATGACCTTTTAGTGTCAACCACTTGCAGGTGAACAGATGGAAAATTATGTAGAACAAAATTTCCTTTCCAAAATTAGTATGGGAAGTGTACTGGGTTGAATAGTATTCCCCCAAAATTCAAATCCAACTGGAACCTATGAATGTGGCCTTATTTGGAAAAAGGACAATTGTGGATGTAATCAAGTAAAGATGAGGTCACACTGGATTAAGGGGGGCCCTAATCCAATCACTGGTGTTCTGTAAGAAGAGAGAAATTTGGACACAGAAACACAGAGGGAAGATAGGCACAATAATTGTTTTTTTTTTTTTTTTAGTTTTTTAGTAGCTCTAGAAGATGGGCACAATAATTGGAGTGATGGATCTACAAGCCAAGGAACACCGAAGATTGCTAGCAACCACCAAAAGCTAGGAAGAGGGAAGGAAGGATTCTTTCCTAGAGCCTTTAGGAGTATCATGGCACCAAGGACACCTTGATTTCAGACTTCTAGCTTCTAGAAGTATGGAAGAATAAATTTCTGTTGTTTTAAGCCATGCATGTTGTGGTCATTTGTAGGGGAAACTAATATGGGAAGCACATGAAAAAGAGAACACTTGCGCAAATATGTATTTCAAAACATTTAATTTTAACACTCTCCTTTAGGCCCATCTAGGAATCTAAGTTAGATGAGCAAACACAAGCTGACTCTTCACTGGTTGAAAAGTACACAATTGCCATGCATTCGTTCAGACTAAAAAACAAAGAGAAAGAAAAATAGAGGGGAAAAAGGAGGAAAAAAACATATTTATTTTTAATCATTCTGCTACAGTGACGAGTCTTGTAACATTTCAAGACTCCATTAGTTAGATCCCTGTCTCTGTTCTCTTTTGTCTCGACAGCAAAGAACCAATCTTTGTTGTGTAGACATTTATTTTCACAAATGCTAAGGAACAGCTCAGTTTAGACCCTCATATGGAATTGCTCTTCTAGGGCTATAGGGTATGGTCAATAGCTTTTTTTTTTAGAGACAGGGGTCTTGCTCTGTCTCCCAGGCTACAGTGCAGCAGTGCTATCATAGCTCATTACAGTCTTGAACTCCTGGCCTCAAATGATCCTCCCACCTCAGCCTCTGAGTAGCTAGGACTATACTTGCATGCAACCTCGCCCAGCTAGCATTTTAAATTTGATGGATATATACCTCAATTCACCACATTATCTGTTAAATGGGAATTATAGTATCTGCCTCCTACTGTTGCTGTGAGGATTAAATGAATTCCTATTTACAAAGCACTTAGAAAAGTGCCTGGCACATAATCATTAATCATTGCATTCATCTCTTTCTCTTGTAATTATTGGAATTTTATTTCCACTGAACTATGAGCTCCTCTAGGATAGGTACTATGCCTATTTCATTTTCCTATCCTCAGCACCTAGTACCATGTCTGACACATACATAGTAGGTCCACAGCAAGCATCTGTTGCCCAAAATACACTATCCAGCAGGCAGTGTGAAATTCCATCTCTGAGCCTTGGAGAAGGAAAGCAGATGGAAAAATAAATATGAGTCCCACACACAGACATTTAAGCCTGACAATGGGCAAGACTGCCAAGGAAGAGAGCGTGAAGGGAAAAGAAATACAATACTGAGGCAAGATTGATGGTGGGAGATGAAAAGAGATAGAAATGGAGCTCTGAGAGGGATATACTTTCAAGGAAGCCATGAAAAGAGTTCAATGGAATTGAAGTGAGGCCAGAGGAAAGGCTGTCTCAAAGGTGGAGTATGAAAAATATGTGGTTAACAAGCAGCTGACAGAGGTTAATTTTTTCTTCTTCTTTTTTTTAAGTCTCAGAGGAAGGAAATGGCATTGTGTAATGGTTTTCTAAAACTTGGCAGGCTTTCAAACGTGGGTCCCTATCTGCCTTGCCAGTAAAGTCGAGAGAACTAGGGAACAGGGATAAGGAGGGCCTAGGTCTTTCCAAGATGCTGATTCTCAAGAAAATTGTAACAAAGTCAAGCTGTATCTTCACTCACAATATGAGATAGAAAATTTAAATAAAACATCCATTTTTGCCTTTCATTATTTCACTTAGGCTAGTAAAGCAGGATTGATGTTTTTGCCAGGTGAAATTATCAGCATCAGGTTTTTATCTGAAATATCTCCTTCCTTACACTTGAATCTCAATAGGATTCCACTACTGCAGAGAGATGGAATAACAAGTTTTCCGAGTTTTTCCTGATAAGGCTCCTCCAGTTATTACAAGCGACCTGGCATTCTATTCTTCTTTAAAAGATAGGCAAGAAAAGGGAATCAGTATCAATATTTGAGAAAAGTGTTTTTTTAAAATAATAGGCATCACTTTTGTGTTTAAATTTAAAAAAAAATAAATTTGAGGAACTGAAACCTTTTAAGCAGTCAAATGAGCCCACATGAATATGCCAAACAAGACAGACATTTACTTTCACAACATATAGTCTTGTGAGGTTTCTCCTGTTAGATGGAGAAAAATAGGTCCTGGGCAGTTGTCAGAAAGAATGAATCAAGCACCATTTAAAAGAGGGGTGTTTGGCCAGGAGTGGTGGCTCACGCCTGTAATCCTAGCACTCTGGGAGGCCAAGCCGGTCGGATCGCTCAAGGTCAGGAGTTCGAAACCAGCCTGAGCGAGATCCCATCTCTACCAAAAATAGAAATTAATTGACCAACTAAAAATATATATACCAAAAAAAATTAGCCGGACATGGTGGCGCATGCCTGTCGTCTCAGCTACTCAGGAGGCTGAGGCAGGAGGATTGCTCCAGCCCAGGAGTTTGCTGTTGCTGTGAGCTAGGCTGACGCCACCGCACTCTCTAGCCTGGGCAACAAAGTGAGACTCTGTCTCAAAAAAAAAAAGAAATAAAATAAAAGAGGGGTTTTTCATATTTTAAGTGAAGAAGACGCTGTTTAAGCCTCTACTATGTGCAAGTAGCTCCCTAGTCAACGCGGTTCAAATGCTTGCATCTGTAAAATAAGGGAAAAGGGTAAGGGGATGCCCTGTTAAATTAATTGTTTGGATAGGAAAATAAGCAGAGCTGGTAACCTTGCCCCGAGCATAGGCGATGGGGAAAAGGGATACACAGGGGCTCAGAAACCGAAGGTCTCAAGCACCTGCACTGCCAGCCCAACCCACTCACCCCTCCGCCCCGCTCCGCCCGGGCCTGGAGCCTCAGCCCAGGAACCAAGATGGCGTCAGCACGCTGGGTCTCGCCCCCGCCCCCCGTGACTCTGCACTGCGACAGCCCAGGCGAGGCCGCTCCCCATTGGCCAACTGTGATGAGGTCATTGTGGGGGCGGCACTACCGGCAGCGCGGGGGCGGGGCTTCGCGGGCAGACGCACGCACGTCGAGGCGCTGCTGCCCGGAGCCGCGGAGGCTGCGGGCTTGGCTGCGGCGGCTGCTGTGGCGGCGGCGGGAGGTGAGCTGGGGTTGTGGTTACAGCGCGGCGGGCAGTGGCCTGCAAGGGACGCAGGAAACCCTTCTAATAGCCCCCTCGATTTTCAAAGGAATTAGCAAGGGTCTTAAGTCTCCGAGAGAAAATGGGGGTCCACCCCTCTTTGGGCACCCCTCCTCCAGCCAGGGAAACCGGAGGCTCACTGCCCCTTGGAGGCCAGGAATTCCTCCCCACATTTAAGGGGTAGGCAGAAGAACTGAAGGTTATGGGGTAGGCAGATGAATTAGGAGGCTTCTTTTAGGATCTCCCAATTTGAGATTCCCCCCTCCCTTTTCTCCCCATCCCTGGAGGTAGATATGGCTGGGCACAGAAAATACCTGCTTTCTCACTCGTTAGACAGGAAATGAACCTGGTGAATACCTTGTTAGGAGGTGAGGACTGGATGACAGTAGTGTGATTTCTCGAGGCTGGACGCAGGAGACGCCGTATTTGGGCTCATATTTTGCGGAGTCGTTGTTTCTTTGTATTTTGTTTTATGACCCCCTGAAAGGCTTTGGCCTAATTAATTTTCTGTTTGTCTCCAGTGCTATAGAGATATTCTAGAGAGACCGGTAATCACTATAGGACAGGAGGAGGGAGGCAGCTCATTGGAGACTATCATTACTGGCAGTCCTTGAACCGTGCTGATCAGGCATAATTATATGTGGAATCTATCTTTGTTGAAGGGTGGTGCTGGTAGCAGCTAACTTGGTTGATTCATATATACACAGTATTAAAGTCAACCTACGTAATCTTGAGAAATCCTTACTTATATCTGAGCTTGTTGTTTTGCTGCCTTGAATATGAGATGCACAAAGGTTTGTCCGTTCCCATTTCTCAAAATGTCTCCCAGCCTTCCAGAAGAGTAAATCTTCCTTTGAAGGCAGACTCACCTAATACTGAATATGGATGCCCTTCTAACACTAAAAATACTGTACATTTTGCTGAGTTTAGAAATTGTACAGACAGTGCCTTGCATTAGCTGATTGAGAATAAATAATTGCAGTTTCAGGACCACTGATAGCGCCAATTGTCTCTTATACCCGGCAGCAGTAAGACAGCCCTAAAACGAAACCTTTATTGGCTCATACTTGAGAAGATTTGACATGTGGAAGAATGTAATTAATCTTGAAGGTGGTGAGGATGAGAAACGGAAAGCTGCAGAGGTGGAAAGCTTATTCTCTGCGGCTTGATAAAACTGCTTTGTCATTATCAATGTGTTCCTGTCATGCTTGATTTGAAATTGAGCTTAATATGCAAGCTGGTTACTTTTTTCAGATAATGGTTATTTGTTTGGATTCCTTGGAGGAGCAATGGTGTTCTCTGGGAGTTTGGAAGGTTAAACCTTTTAATGTAGCCATAGCTTTAGGATAATGTGGGAACTCTGGGCTGTTAGAAATGGGCATTGTCAGTAGAGGGGAGAAAACTAGTCACAAGGCAGACATCTTTTATGAGAGGGTAATTAAGGTCTTTTCTGTTTGTTTCCTGCACTAGCAAAAAAAGATTAGGCAGTGTGATGTCAGGGTGTTGTGTCCAGGGTATTTAAAGAGCTGTTTGGGGTTCCCAGTTCCTGTCTTTAATCTGGATACGTTCTTATGTATTGAGTTGCCCCAAATATTGTCATTTGATCCTGATGTTGACTGCAAAGGAAGTGACTTTTCATCCAGCACTCTGTGGGACAGGATTCAGTAACTGCTTTTGCAGTTTCTTCTGTCCATCTTTCTAAGAAAGATGTCAAAACAATTGTTAAAGACCTGTCATCATGGGGTGGAAGAAATGAAATTGCAAAATGAAAGAGCCTTACTGGGATGTTATTTGCTCTTAGCCCTCTTGGTAATTTCCAAGTTATGTCATTTTCTCTTTTGCCTCAGGTTGGAGAGAAATCCAGGTACTCAGTTGACTGGTACCTTCTGCCACCATGGGGGAGCTTTTCCGGAGTGAGGAGATGACGCTGGCCCAGCTTTTTCTGCAGTCAGAAGCTGCTTATTGTTGCGTCAGTGAATTAGGAGAACTCGGAAAAGTCCAGTTTCGTGATGTAAGTAGTTGTGGGACAGCTTCTTGATCACTTCTGAACTGTTTTCCTTGTCATGGCCAATTGCCTTATGATGAATGTTTTGGTTTTTATTTGCAAAAATAACATTACAGCACTGGCTTACTATTGGTAGAGTGTACACTTCAAGTTGTCTTTTCTAGAGGTGAGAATATTTTATTTCAATCCTTCCATGCTTTTGCTAACTCCGCCTTTGAGAACCATCCTAAGCATTCTCAAGGTAATTGCTTGTGATACAGGGAAAGGATACCAAAGTAACATATTCAAGGCTTTAACTTTGCTTTTGGGCTCCTTAATAACCATAGCAGGATTTTTTTTTCGTAGCAGGATTTAAAAAAGAAAAAAATATTGTAGTTCTTTCATACAGTAGGACATTTAAAAAAAAATAAAATCTGAGGTATCAAGCTATAGATATATAGTATATAAGTAAGCATGTGCTAAATATCCATTACTTTGGAGCATTATGCTGGGTACTTGGAAAAGATCTAAAAAAAAAATGGACAGTTTCAGAGTGAAAAAGTATGCCCTTTGGGTCTTATAATCTAGTCAGGAAGGCACAGTGTACACTGCTAAAAAGAGGGGGCAGTTAACAGTTTGTTGTTCCTGACTTGGTCAGATCCTCCCTCCTGTTATGCAATCCTAACACTCCATATACCTTTTTTATTTTTTATTTTATTTTATTTTTTTACTGCCCCCCCCCATATACCTTTCTTTCATAGCATTCACTCTGGTCATGTTTTTACCTTTATCGGTGTGTATAGTTGATTAAAAATCTCTCTCTTTCACTGTGATCCAAGCATCATGAAGACAGGGATATTCTCTGGTTTTGCTTATTATTGCATCCTTAGTGCCCACTCAATCAGTATTTGTTGGAATGAATGGATGAATGAAAGAGGAGTGACCAGAAACGAGTGGGATTGATCAATATAGGCTTCCTGGAATTGGCAGGCTTTCAGGAAGTTCTTAGTTGTCAGTTTGAGCTGAAATTGCACAAATGTAATGCGGCGACATGGTCATATTCCTTATTCTCATTGAACCAATTTGTACCATCTCTTTCCAGAAGTTCTCCTCCCTGACTGATTGATTCCTTTTCTTACCTTCCCACTAGACTCTCTTTGATCTTCCCCACCCCCACTCTAGGTGTCAGTGTCCCCCCAGGTCTCTTCTTTGTTGTTTCTGGGTGAGCTTCTCCATACCCATGTTTTCCTTTATCTTCTATTTTGGTGATCTCATCTAGTCTCAAATCTTTATTCAATGAGTCCCAAAGTCTTTATCTCTGGTCCTGACCTCACAAATACCATCCCTGCATTTAACATATAACTCTCTGAGATTAATAGTTTATTAGTTTTTCCTGCTCATGAATCTGTAACCCAGATTCTTGGCTATGTCTCCTGGTAGACCTTTATGATAGTTTCTAGTACAGTGATTCTCAAACTTTTTGGTCTCAGGACCTCTTTTTTTTTTTTGAGACAGAGTCTCACTCTGTTGCCCAGGCTAGAGTGAGTGCCGTGGCATCAGCCTGCTCACAGCAACCTCAAACTCCTGAGCTCAAGGGATCCTGCTGCCTCAGCCTCCCAAGTAGCTGGGACTACAGGCATGCGCCAAAATGCCTGGCTAATTTTTTCTCTATATATTAGTTGGCCAATTAATTTCTTTATATTTATGGTAGAGACAGGGTCTCGCTCTTGCTCAGGCTGGTTTCGAACTCCTGAGCTCAAACAATCCGCCCACCTCAGCCTCCCAGAGAGCTAGGATTACAGGTATGAGCCACTGCGCCCGGCCTCAGGACCTCTTTATACTCCTAAAAATTAAGGACCCCAATGAAGTTTTGTTTATATGAGTTTCAGCTATCAATATTTACCATATTGGGAATTCGAACTGAGAAATGTTTAAAATACTTATTTATCAAATCATTTTAAAATTGTAAGAGTAAACCCACTACATATTATCATAAATAACACTTTTAGGAAAAATAACCATATTTTTCAGAACAAAACAATAGAAGAATAGCATTATTTTTTCATTTTTGAAAATTTCCTTGTGTCTGAATTAATAGAAGACAGCTGGATTTTCACATCTGCTTCTGCTTTCAGTCTGTTGTGATATCCTGTATCATAAGCCTCTGGAAAAACGTCACTGAACACTCATGAGAGAATGGGAATGAAAAAGGCAAATGATGTCTTTGTGTTGTTATGAAAATAGAATTGATCTCACAGACCTGCTGCTACTCTAGAGATTATAACTAAGAAAGGGAATTGCTTAGTATTGTGTATATCTATAACATTGTTAGATGTTGTCACAGTGTATTTCATGATGAATGTACCTGCCTATTCATGCTTCTGTCAGTGTTAAAAGTTCTAGAGGATCACTTGAGCCCAGGAATTTGAGACCAGCCTGGGCAATAGTAAGACCCCATCTCTCCAAAAAATAAAAAAACTAGCTGGATGTGGTGAAGAACCTGTAGTCCCAGCTACTCGGGAGGCTGACTCAGGAGGATTGCTTGAGCCCAGGAGTTGGAGACTGCAGTGAGCTGTGATGAGACCACTGTACTCTGCCTGGGCAACAGAGCAAGACTGTCTCAAAAAAAAAAAAAGGTTCCAGTCATTCCACAATTGTCAACACTTTCATGCTCAAACTCATATATTTGCCAATCTGATGGGTGTGAAATGGTATCTTTTTTTTTTTAAAGAAATCACTACCTTTCAAATGAAATAGTATCTTATTGTTGTTTTAATTTGCATTTTCTCCATTGGTCCAGTTGGTATCTTTTTATCTGCTTATTAGACATATGAATTTCCTCTTCATGAAATATCTGTCCATATCATCTGCCTATTTTTCTGTTGGGTTGCTTGTCTTTTGCTTTGGGCTTGTGGGATTTGTAAGTTCTTCATGTATTTTGGACACTGATCTTTCTCTCATCCTTTACTGGTAAAAACTTCTAGGTTGCGGCTTGTTTTTTCTTTTTGTTTATGGTATATTTTGTCCTAAATAAATGTTCTTTTTTTTTTTTTGCTTGTCAATATTTTTTCCCTAAGTTTTTATTTTGTTTTATCAGACCTGAATACCCTTATGCATTAATCTTTTGAGGCTAGGTGAGGTGGCTCACACCTATAATCCTTGCACTCTGGGAGGCTGAGGAGGGATGATTGCTTGAGCTCAGGAGTCTGAGACCAGCCTGAGCAAGAGTAAGACCCCAGCTTTGTGTGTGTGTGTGTGTATTTTAGGCTAGTCAAGTGAAGCAGTGGGATTGGAAAAAAAACAAAGGAATTTGCAACTGGATGTGATCAATTAGTTGTAAACACCACTGCACTCGGACCAGCCAAGACACCGGCTGTACAGAAAAAAATAGAAAAAATAGCCAGGCACGGTGGCATGCATCTGTAGTCCCAGCTACTCGGGAGGCTGAGGCAGGAGAATTTTTTTTTTTTTTTTTTTGAGACAGAGTCTCACTTTGTTGCCCAGGCTCGAGTGAGTGCCGTGGCATCAGCCTAGCTCACAGCAACCTCAAACTCCTGGGCTCAAGCAATCCTACTGCCTCAGCCTCCTAAGTAGCTGGGACTACAGACAGGTATGCGCCACCACACCCGGCTAATTTTTTGTATATATATTAGTTGGCCAATTAATTTCTTTCTATTTATAGTAGAGACGGGGTCTCTCTCTTCCTCAGATTAGTTTCGAACTCCTGATCTTGAGCAATCCACCCGGCTCAGCCTCACAGAGTGCTAGGATTACAGGTGTGGCTGGCGAGGCAGGAAAATTGTTTGAGCCCAGGAGTTTGAGGTTGCATGGAGCTATGATGATGCCACTGCATTCTGGCCAGTGAAACAGAGCAAGACTTTATCCCCCACCCAAAAATATCTTTTGCCTCATTTGATATAATCTTTTTTACTGCACTATTAGAGAGTAGCCTGTGGCCATTGTGACATTTTATCTCTATTTCACACTTCAGCATGTATCAACTAAGCACAGATATTTGCCTTTGTAGCCACAATACAATGATCACATCCAAGAAATTTCACATTGATACAATTGTCTAATACACAGTCATATTCTGATTTCCCAGTTGTTTCATTAATGCCTTTTACAGCTGAGTTTGGGTTTTGTTGTTGTTGTTGTTGTTGTTGTTTTCTACTTATATCAGTGGGATGGGAGAGGAGTGAGAAACAGGGCGGAATAGCAACAAACAATCTCTGAATGGGGTGGTCAGCAGTAGCCAAGAAGAAATTCAGCCCATTCTCATGTTCTGTAGAAATATAGCTTGTTTGTTTGGTCTTTTATGACATTGATATTGTTCAAGAGTCCAGGCCATTTGTTTTGCATAAGGTCTCTCAATTTGGAGTTGTCTAATTGTTTCCTCATGATTTGATTTAGGTAAACATTTTTTGGCAAGGAAACTATGCATATGATACTGTGTCCTTAATATATCACGTGAGAAGGCACATGATGTCATTTTTTCTGCTATTGGTAAAGATAAATTTGATGACTCGATTAAGGTGTATTTACTAGTGTTCTCCATTAGGTGCTGTTTTCCCTTTGTGATTAATAAGTAACATGGAGTGATACTTTGAGACTATGTGAATATCCTGTTCCCCAGTAGCTGTTTACCTAATAGTTTTCTTTTTTTTTTTTGAGACAGAGTCTCGCTTTGTTGCCCAGGCTAGAGTGAGTGCCGTGGCGTCAGCCTAGCTCACAGCAACCTCAATCTTCTGGGCTCAAGCCATTCTCCTGCCTCAGCCTCCCGAGTAGCTTGGACTACAGGCATGCGCCACCATGCCCGGCTAATTTTTTCTATATATTTTTAGTTGGCCAATTAACTTTTTTCTATTTTTAGTAGAGACAGGGTCTCGCTCTTGCTCAGGTTGGTTTTTTTTGTTGTTGTTTGTTTGTTTGTTTGTTGAGACAGAGTCTCACTTTGTTGCTAGAGTGAGTGCCGTGGCATCAGCCTAGCTCACAGCAACCTCAATCTTCTGGGCTCAAGCCATTCTCCTGCCTCAGCCTCCCGAGTAGCTTGGACTACAGGCATGCGCCACCATGCCCGGCTAATTTTTTGTATATATATTAGTTGGCCAATTAATTTCTTTCTATTTTTAGTAGAGACGGGGGTCTCACTCTTGCTCAGACTGGTTTCAACTCCTGACCTTGAGCAATCCTCCCGCCTCGGCCTCCCAGAGTGCTAGGATTATAGGCGTGCCCGGCCTGAATAATATATTCTTATTTCATGATTTGTGATCTCATGTGTAACCTATCAAGTTTTCATACATATGTGAGTCTGTTTCTGGATTCTCTTCTGGTCCATTGGCACATTTGTTTACCCTTGTGCTTATAGAACAGTAAATTGCCATAACTGAATACTAAGTCTTGATGTCTTATAGGGTATGGGTTCCCCCACTTTGTTTATCAAAACTGTCTCTGCTATTCTGGCCCCCATGCTCTTTCATATTAATTTTAGAATCAACTTGTTAAATTCCATGAAATTCCCTGTTGATAGTTTTATTTTCTCTGTGAGACTCTTAGACATCTTTATTTAGACTTATTCTGTATTGGTTTTTTGTTGTTGTGATTAGGCATCATTTTAAAATTTTAGCTCTTCTGTTTATGGCTGTTATAAAAGAATACAGTTGATTTTTACATATTGTTTTATATCCAGCAACCTCAATGAATACCTTTTTGTGAAATTCCAATAGTTTGCTGGTAGAAGTCTTTGATTTTCCATATATTCAATTTATTATCTGCAGTTTTGTTTCTTCTTTTTAAATCCTTATCCTTTTTCTTTCTTTTACTTATTTTACCATATGCTTTAGAACCTTTAATAAATAACATGTTAAGGAGAGTAACAGCAAGCTAATCTTAGGATTATGTTGGGCTGAACCTAACAGAAAACTCCAATTATTGGGTTTTACTTTTTTCATGTAACATGAAGCCTGACTTCACACTGTCATCAGCGTCCTAAGATCATTTTGTATTTCTGATTGGCCATCCTGGAGCTTTTGGCTTTTGTCCTTCGAGATGATGCTGCAGCTCTTGGCCTTTCATCCATATATTTTTTTTTTTTTTTTTTTTTGAGACAGAGTCTCACTCTGTTGCCCTGGCTAGAGTGAGTGCCATGGCGTCAGCCTAGCTCACAGCAACCTCAAACTCCTGGGCTCAAGCGATCCTGCTGCCTCAGCCTCCCGAAGTAGCTGGGACTACAGGCATGTGCCACCATGCCCGGCTAATTTTTTCTATATATATTAGTTGGCCAATTAGTTTCTTTCTATTTATAGTAGAGACGGGGTCTCACTCTTGCTCAGGCTGGTTTCGAACTCCTGACCTCGAGCAATCCGCCCGCCTCGGCCTCCCAGAGAGCTAGGATTACAGGCGTGAGCCACCGCGCCCGGCCTGTTCCTGACTTTAAGGGCAATTAAAAAACAAATTTTTCTTTTAGAGATGAAGTCTTGCTTTGTTGCCCAGGCTAGGGTGCAGTGGCATGATCACAACTCCCAGGCTCAAACTATCCTCCTGGCTCCGCTTCCCAAGTAGTTGGATAATTTTTTAATTTTTTGTAGAGAAGGAGTCTTGCTATGTTGCTTAGGCTGGTCTTGAACTCCTGGCCTCAAACAATCGTCCAGCCTCAGCCTCCCAAAGTGCTGGGATTACAGGTGTGAATCACTGCACCCAGCCAGATTGCTAGCTTCTTAATAGGACCTTGTATTATTTTTGTTTGTATATCACAGAATGTCTGTTACATTGCTTTGAAAATTACTTGTTGTGTATGAGTGAGTAAACCAGGCTATCACCCAGAAGGTGAAGACCCTGGGACAGAAGAACAAGAGAAATTTGCCTTCGATTTTTTTTCTGCTTGGGAAGAAAGAGAGAAGGCAAACCAGAAGACAGAGTTCCTGTGATATCCATTGCCCAAATTTTAGGTGGTAGAAAGGCTCCTCACTGAGACTTTTGGCTGAGGAAAATGTTTTGTACCCCTGTGCTTTGACCCACTCGCCTCTAGTCCTTAATGTGTTGCAGCAGCAAGGGAGGAGGTTTTATCCTTTGCTGGTGTGACTGGCTACAAAGCAGTTTTTATATGGATCAGTAGATAATTTTGATTAGTGGTGTATTATACACTGACACAAAATTAAATTTTCACTTTGCAGGATGTGTTGCTTGTGAAACAGATGAAAGAGAAATAGATGCTGTGTTTGAATGTTTGGTATTGTGTTCTTCTTTTTCAGTTAAATCCAGATGTAAATGTTTTCCAGCGGAAATTTGTGAATGAAGTTAGAAGATGTGAAGAAATGGATCGAAAGCTTCGTATGTGTATTTTGGTCTTGCATAATGTTCCTTTAATGAATCATTTGCCTTAGATTAGAGACATTAATTAGTCCTCTTAATAAAGAAAGAAAATACTGTAGGAGAAAAAGAAAAAAGGAAAACTCCTACAGTCATGATGTTAAGATTAATTTCTTGAATACAAATTGATTTTATGGTATATGGGCTGGGTGTGCTTAATGGAAACCTTGTTTGAAACAACAGGTTGCAGACTGAAAACACTGTAGTTATTTTTTGCAGGGGGCAAGATTTTTTTTATTCTCTTTTAATATTTTATTTTATTTTTTCCCTATTTTTCTTTCTTCCTCAAAAATCTAGAGAATGGACGATATTTTTTTTTTTTTTTGAGACAGAGTCTCACTTTGTTGCCCAGGCTAAAGTGAGTGCCGTGGCATCAGCATAGTTCACAGCAACCTTAAACTCCTGGGCTCAAGCAATCCTTCTGTGTCAGCCTCCCGAGTAGCTTGGACTACGGGCATGTGCCACCATGCCCGGCTAATTTTTTGTATATATATTAGTTGGCCAATTAATTTCTTTCTATTTATAGTAGAGACGGGGTCTCGCTCTTGCTCAGGCTGATTTCGAACTCCTGACCTTGAGCAATCCGCAAGGCTTGGCCTCCCAGAGAGCTAGGATTACAGGCGTGAGCCACCGCGCCTGGCCTGGAGGAGATTTTAATAGGAGAACTACATTATAGGAGGACAGTGAGACTCTGTCTCAAAAAATAAATAAATTAAAGAGGATAAAAAAAGAACTACATTATAGGATTCTGAGAGAAGGACCCAGAGCACCATCAGTTTTAGATGTCAGCAGAGCCACCTTTTAGTTTGATCTATTTATGAGAGCGGAAACTAACATTTATTAAGGTCTTATTGAGGGTTAGCATACTCATGGACCTTATTTCATTTATTCCCCCACAACATTCCTTCAAGATGAGTGCTACTTCATTTAATAATGGAGGGAGCTAAAGACCAGAGAGGTTTAGTGACTTGCCCTGGAGTATAAGCAGTTGTGATGGAATTGGTATTTGAAGTTAGGTTGTTCTGTCTGGCTCCAAACCCATGATCTTGCCACTCTACTTAGTCAGGTTATGGTTAACTGAGAGGAGAATTTGGTTCCCACTCTAAAAAGAAAGTTAGTATTGTCTCTTGAAACACTTTTTTCTTCTGGTGTTTTGGGTCCTTATTACATGTTCAGCTTTATTTGTTTGTCTATTTATTTATTTATTTATTTTTTTGAGACAGAGTCTCACTTTGTTGCCCAGGCTAGAGTGAATACCATGGCATCAGTCTAGCTCACAGCAACCTCAAACTCCTGGGCTCAAGCAATCCTGCTGCCTCTGACTCCCGAGTAGCTGGGACTACAGGCATGCACCACTATGCCCGGCTAATTTTTTTTTCTATATATATTAGTTGGCCAATTAATTTTTTTCTATTTATAGTAGAGACGGGGTCTTGCTCTTGCTCAGGCTGGTTTCGAACTCCTGACCTCGAGCAATCCGCCCTCCTTGGCCTCCCAGAGTGCTAGGATTACAGGTGTGAGCCACTGCGCCCAGCCTGTTTATTTATTTATTTATTTATTTTTTAAGCCAGTCAAATTCAGCAGTGTGTTCAGCTTTTTTATTTTTATTTTTTATACTTAAAACGATTGTCTCAAATTTAGTGAACCCCTTTTGATCTGGAATTGTCTCACTAGTGTGTTAAGTGTCAAATATTCAATTGAATTATACTCTTCAGGTGTAGCTCTGCTTTGCCAACAGTAGTATCTGCAGCCAGAAACGTCATACTGTGGGGTGGCAGTGGCGGAGGAGGGTGGAGAGTTGAAGCAGAGGAAGGCTAGTGTTGTTATGACCAGAAGAGGGAAGGAAGGCACTTGTGAAATGACCACCCTCTTTGGAGTAGCTTTTGAGAGTGTGAGGTTAGAGAAAGAGGGATGTGGAGAAAAAGGATGCTTCTTTTATATAAAAGTATCTTAGAATGAAACTCTTTGTAGCCAGGTTTTAGATCTTAATTTTTGCCTCAAATAATGGCAATTCCAGACATGTGCAACTAGACATGAATGTTTTGGCTCTATCATTTTAGGATTTGTTGAAAAAGAGATAAGAAAAGCTAACATTCCAATTATGGACACCGGCGAAAACCCAGAGGTGCCCTTCCCCCGGGACATGATTGATTTAGAGGTAAACAGTTCTTCTGAAAAAGCCAGATAAGTTTCTTTCTACTTAAATGCAAAAATGACTTTCCATGGTGGTCGGAGAGTAGAGTAATTCTTGTTAACTTTGTCAGCATCATCTAATAATTGTAAGTTTCTTATAGGTGTGATCAAAATAGAGCCTCTTTCTTATGACATCAAATAGTATTCAAACCAATGTCATATGTCACTGAACATATGTTTATTGGCTTATTGAAACTTTATTGGATTAATGTCAGTTTATCTAGTAGTTTATTAATCTTGTATGCTAAATGAATAGCCAGTGGGCTTTTCGATAATTATTTTATCCAACTGAAATCTCCCAAGTGATTTACGGAGTGTACAGTAGACTCTATACACAAAGCCTTTTGGAGACAGAGACTTGCTCTGTTGCCCAAGCTAGAATGCTGTGGCATCAGCCTAGTTCACAGCAACCTCAGTCTCCTGGGCTCAAGTGATCCTACTGCCTCAGCCTCCCGAGTAGCTGGGACTACAGGCATGTGCCACCATGCTTGGCTAATTTTTTCTATATATATTAGTTGGGCAATTAATTTCCTTCTATTTTTAGTAGAGACGGGGTCTCGCTCTTGCTCAGGCTGGTCTCCAACTCCTGACCTCTAGCAATCTGCCCATCTTGGCCTCCCAGAGTGCTAGGATTACAGGCATGAGCCACCTCACCCAGCCCCACAAGGACTATTTTAAGCAAAAAAATTTTCATAAAGAAAATTGCAGCTGGACATGGTTGCTCATGCCTGTAATCCTAGCACTCTGGGAGGCCGAGTTGGGAGGATAGCTTGAGGTAAGGAGTTCGAGACCAGCCTGAGCAAGAGCCAGACCCCATCTCTACTAACAAAAAAAAAAGTAGAAAAATTAGCCAGGCTGAGGCAGGAGGATTGCTTGAGTCCAGGAATTTGAGGTTCCAGTGAGCTAGGATGATACCACTGCACTGTACCTGGGCAACAGAGTGAGACTCAGTCTCAAAAAAGAAAAGAAAATTGCTCTGGTAAAACCACAGTATTTGCTGAAGAGGGCTAAGATATTTTTGAACTGTCAATGTGGCAACAGTTCTGTGGGATGAATTCTTTTAATGTCTTTCAGAGCAAGTATATTGAGTTTAGCTTACGTTTTCTTTTGTTCCTCTAGGCCAATTTTGAAAAGATTGAAAATGAACTGAAGGAAATCAACACAAATCAGGAAGCTCTGAAGAGAAACTTCCTGGAGCTGACTGAATTAAAATTTATACTGCGCAAAACTCAGCAGTTTTTTGACGAGGTCAGACTATTGTTTCTCTTAGTATTTGAACAGCTGATATTACACTCATACAAGTGGGCCATATTTTTATTCCAGTAATTATTTTAATTTGCTATTTTGGAAGCAATACCATTTTTGCACCCTTCTTTAGTTGAAGAAATGTCAGATTATGTTCCATTTTTCATGCAGTACACAGCCAGTCATGGTTTTGTATTTTTTCACATTTTCTGCAATTTTTCATCTCAAGATGGGGAAAGGAACCCTGAAGCAGTTGTATAAACATACTTGGTAGAAATTTTTACATTATATTTATACTTATATATTATAAGGTAAGTATATGCTTAAGGTTAAAGTTGAAGAAACAAACATTTGGTTATACACGAAATGATAAAAAGGTTTAAACACCAGACCTTTTGTCATCAAACTTTTTATTTTATTCTCTGTGTTTGCTTATCAGCCTTTGAGCAGTGTTTAGTACTTCAGATAGCACATGGCACACTAATTTTTCAAGAGTTTTTCATTGTGCTGTCTGGAAATATTGTAGGATGCTTGTTTAAAACTCCTGGATTTTCACATAAATTTAACTTCATTACTTTATAGGGGAAAATCTTATTAAGTTCCTGGGATTAAAAACATAGGTGACTAAGTTGACAGCTTGCTGAGGTGACCCCATGGAAAGGATTTGGAGCAAGGCTTGCAGAAGGCTTCCTTCTCCAAATTGATTAGCTTTCAACCCGAATGTGGTTTTTGTAATGACAAAAACCACATGAGTGGTTTGAGTATGAGTAACTGTCTTTTAGACAGATGTCTTTGCCACCTGATTAACAATATTAGATACTTCAGAGACCATTCCAGGCACTGTTTAGTGTGCCTTCCCATGAAGTTCTTTATTTCCTTTGCTCAACAAAAAAATTTGGCAAAGCTTTTAAATAGAGAGGGCCTATTTTAGTTAGGGTCTGGTGTGTCCTCAGTTATACTTTTAACATTTGCCATTTGAGGAGAGATCATTTCTCCATAATTGTCTAGGTTGGACCATGGGTTCTCCTATCAGCAGCACCAGCAGCCTCACTTGAGATCTTCTTAGAAATATAAATTCTCAGTCCCCACCCCAGACCTGCTGAATCAGAAACTCGGAGGTTGAGGCCCAGCAGTCTTTTTTAACAAGGTGATTGTGAAGCATGCTAGTTTAAAAACTGCTGGGCTCGAGAAAGTCTGCTGAGGATGTGATACATTCCTCAATAACTAAGGATTTGAGTTAGAGAAGCCATGCTAATTAAAAGTATCTGTTGGGGCTGGGGAAAGGGAGAAAGCTCATGTGAATTTAATTGCCTGGTCAGCCCAAGAATCAGAATCTGCTTGTATATCAGTAGAGTTTTGATGTGAATAGTCAGCTTGCTCACTGAGTTGAGAATTTTGAGACTGGTGGTGACTTCTTTCGCCAGTCCCTGATATCATCGCATTGGAGGGTGTGGGGCACTGTGATTAATTCTTTCCAAGTGTTTAAGGTCTTTTGCAACAGGCATGGACACTTATGCCATATGGTTTTAATGAACAAGTAATCTGGAATTCCAGCATGCTCAATGCCTTACTGTATTTTGATTCATTAATTCACCAAGCATATAATAAGCACCTACTCTTTGTGAGACATGGGATGAGTAAGACATGGTCCCTGTGTTCAGGGAGTGTATCATTTAGTCACATCAGGAAACATCCCTACACACAGCACCTCCATGTGCTCACAGATATGTGCTTTTCCAAATGGGTCCCAGCTGCTGCCCACATGTCCAGTGTAGACCTGGCCTCATGTTCAAAGCTCAGATGTTTTAGCATAATTTGGAGCTTAATTCTTTTATCCTCATATTTTTCCCCTTTTGATATATGCTCTCTCTCTTTTTTTTAAACCGGTCAAATTTAGCAGTGGGGGGGGGGTTGAATACCAACTTTAGTGACATTAATGTTAATAAGTTTTGATAACCCACTACTGTTGGACCAGCCTGATATATACTCTTTAGTTTACTACAGGGATGCTGCTGTGATACATGAAAAAGTTTTTCAGGACCTCCTAAGTTTAAAGATTGGCGTGAGATTCCTATTCTGGTTCATTTTAGGAGAAATTCTGAATAAAGACTGACAAATGGACTCTCTTAAAGAAAACAACTATTTAAACTATTAATTTTACAATTTAAAAAATAGTACAAATAAAATAAAACACTTGAAAAGATGATGAAAGATTTTAAAATCATAAGTTCTGGATTTAGGAATTTTATCTTGTGATTATTAAGTCTGAACACGAAATGTTCATCCTGAGAAGGCAAACTCTAAGTCTTCATGACCTTCATGCCCTATCCAAGGTGGGTTGTTTTCCCCATTTGTACAAAACATTCTTTTTTTTTAAATCTCTGGAAGTACTTAGAGCATGAGGCCTTGGCTAGGAGAGGTTCTCACACTGTGTTTGTCATCAGTTCCCCCTTCATTCCTAGAACCCTCAGCAGAGTCTTCTGGCAAGAACCCATCTGCCTTGTGTGTTTTCACCACTATTGAGCAGCCTCAGCCAGGTCCCTTCCCATAGACCTCGCCCTGCTGCTGCCAACAGCCTCAGGTGGCACTGCCATGACTGGAGTGACCCTGTCTGTGCATGCGAGTGTGCACTTTAATGCAAAAGATAAGGAAACTTGGGACCTTTAATTGTCAGAACTTCAGGGTATTTCATGAGATTTTCTTCTATGCCTAAAATTGTAATGTTCGCAAATGGCCTAAAACACTACCAGTTTTAAACTCTTCTTTTTTATGATTTGGTGAATACAATCAATAATTCACAGCAGAAAATGGCTAAATCAGAAAAGGATTCTTTCCATATTTAGGCATAGGGGTTATGATTGGCAGGGTATATAGAAGGGGAAAAGTAAACATATATTGAATGTTCTTAGGATTGAAGATGATTACAAGTTCGACTTAGCCATTTTTTATCCAGAGCATTTAAAATGACTTGTTAATGATTATCCTTTTCTCAGTCTTCTTGCTTATGAAGAACTTTAAGAGCTGGAGAGATTTCTCTACATCTTTTACCATAAGCAGCATAACATATGAGAACATAAAGAAGACTGGAAAAGTAATGGTTAATGGCATGCAGATCCTGCTTTCCTTTCCTTCTGAGTTTTCCATACATCTGCTTTCTTTGTCTTTCTTTCCCATCTGCCATCTCCTTTGGGGCTTGGGTGAATGACTTCAGTGATTAAATGAAATTTCTTAATGTAAATGGAAGTGACAGTGTTTGTTTTGGTAATTGACATATCTTGAATTCGATGTGCTTCTTGTACTTAAATGCTGTAGAAACAGAACTGAAGTGCTGCTGCTTCCTTTTCATAAGGCATGGTTTTCAGAATTCTGGATGGGTAAAAGGGTTAAACCAGAGGGTAAGTAATGTAGGGGAACATTGGCTGTGTTGTTATTGTATTGTAGAAACCAGGTACTCTAAGATTTAGATACTTAACAACATGATTTTTGATATTGTTTTAAAGGCCCTCAGTAGTTCTGGTCAACCTTCTGTCCCATCTGGCACAATTATATTTAAAATTTGTTAACTTTCCTCTCTAAGACTTAGGATTCTTAAGCAGTAAGTAGTGAAATGAGTAATTAGAATATTATTGCAAGTTTCTGTTTAATTTTAATTCTGCTGGGTATTTTTATTCTCAAAGAGTCCCAGAATACAGTCTGGAATAGTCCAGTTGCTGAGTGCTGGTTGCTATTCCCTCGGTTGTCTGCTTTAGAGCACACATGTTTGCACTGATGCTTAGGATTTACTTAAACCGGGTCTTGTGAACCACGAAGGCAAGCAGGAGGAGGGGTCTTGTGAGTAGCAGTCAGTTCCACTGGTTTTTGGGCATAATCCGAGAACACATTGCAATGTGTGGTCATTTGGATCCTGAAAACAAGTTGCTTACAGTTAGCTGATTTGATTTCAAGTAGAAACAAAAGAACACCCTGACTTCCATATGACAGCAAGTAGTAACTGGTGTTCCTATTATCTTTTTTTTTTTTTTTTTGAGACAGAGTCTTACTCTGTTGCCCAGGCTAGAGTGCCGTGGCATCAGCCTAGCTCACAGCAACCCCAAACTCCTGGACTCAGGCAATCCTTCTGCCTCACCCTCCCAAGTAGCTGGGGCCATAGGCATGCACCACCATGCCTGGCTAATTTTTCCTATTTTTTAGTAGAGATGGGGTCTCACTCTTGCTCAGGCTGGTCTCGAACTCCTGAGCTCAAACCATCCGCCTGCCTCAGCCTCCCAGAGTACTAGGATTATAGGTGGGAGCCACTGTGACGGACCTATTACCATTATCTTTCTTTTTCTTTTCTTTTTTTTTTTTTTTTTTTTTTGAGACAGAGTCTCACTTTGTTGCCCAGGCTAAAGTGAGTGCTGTGGCATCAGCCTCGCTCACAGCAACCTCAGTCTCTGGACTCAAGCGATCCTACTGCCTCAGCCTCCCAAGTAGCTGGGACTACAGGCATGTGCCACTATGCCCGGCTAATTTTTTGTATATATATTTTTAGTTGGTCAATTTCTTTCTATTTTTGGTAGAGACGGGGTCTCGCTCAGGCTGGTTTCGAACTCCTGACCTTGAGCAATCTGCCCGCCCGCCTCAGCCTCCCAGAGTGCTAGGATTATAGGTGTGAGCCATCACGCCTGGCCAATGTTCCCATTATCTTATCTTAAACTTTGCAAATCTTATGACAGTATTTCTCTGCTCTTCTAGTGTACACAGTGCCTGCCTTTCCTTTTTTTTTTTTGTTTTTACTTTGGTTTTTTTGTTTTTGATTAGCTTTGATCCTTACTTTCCAAAACAAATTGCTTTCACTTTTTTAGGCCTTTAGACTTATCATCTGGTTTATACTCAGTTTTTTCCCCTTTTTTGTTACATTTATGGTCCCGTGACTTTATAAGGGAGGTTCCTTTGTGGCATTTTTTGATAGTGTGGTTGACAGGAGTAGAATCAAATTGAAATTTGGAATAAGAATGATAGAGAAAATTTCTCCTTTTTGTTTTACTTTCGAGAAGGGAGATTGTTCTGGCATACTTCTAGTCTTTGGTCAAACAAATAGTCTATGGATTTTAAAGTTGGGGAGATGAAGTGGAATGCAGTGGAATAGTCAATTGGACTTTATTTTTTAGAGCAGCTTCTCCTTTCTGATGGGAGTAAAGAGTGGTAGGATGAGTTGGGTAGAGAGAGGCTAAGAACTAAAGACCTAGGTGTAGGAAGGTCCTTCTCCTTCATTTCATTGTATAAACTGTCATGGTGGAAATCATTTTAAATCTAATCAATTAAGCCAGCCCATGAGCTCTAGATTGGTTTAGTGTCTGTTGCTTTTTCTTCACTTTACCTGATTCTTGAGCTGTGTTCTCAAGAATCCTTCAACTGTAAAGCCTATGTGAACTTTTTGCTATTTCTAGATTCCTAGTTAGAAAATAGGACATTCAGAGATGTTTTCACTTTTTCTTCCCTTTATGGATGAAATGGAGGCCCAGGCCTACCCAGCTATTGTACTTCTTATCCTTTTGAAGAAAGAAAGATTCTTTAAATCCTATGGTTTGGAGCGTTTTATACATGACCATGCTGAAAGTTCTCGTGTTGTGAATTTTTAAGGACCTGGAGAACCTAGATATCTGGAGATGCCATTCTGTTTTTCTACAGATCACACAATGTTCAAGACACTGACAGTGCCTTGCTTCTTCCTTAGAAAGAGTCTACATCTTTCACATTCTCACACAGGGAAAATTCTAGTTTGTAGCTGCCTAGAATTAAATGTTGAGAGTATCTGCAGAGCTGCTTCATTTTTACATGAAAGGGAGAGACATTTCAGCTTCCTATCCACCTTCAAAGATATTTCCTGGGACTTTCATAGTTCATTCATGGAAATGTAGGAAAGAAAATGGCTTCCACCAAGTAACAGATTTATACATGTCACCATCATGTAATTATTTTTCTTTTATTCCTTATTTCTAAAACCATTTCCCCAGGTGCTTTACTGGGGCAATTATGCTTTCTTTACCTTGAATTATTTTCCTTTTCTTCTTCCCCTGTTCTTCCTGTCTCCTTTTATGGGTGTGTCCTTGTCTTTATTGGTGGTTTTTTTCTTTTTCATCCTTATTTTCTGAACCTGTCTCCTGGTTCCTCGTTCCCTGCATGCCACTAACTATTTTCATTAGATATTAATTGATTTGTGAATTCAGGCTGAATTGCATCATCAGCAGATGGCGGATCCAGACCTGTTGGAAGAGTCCTCATCCCTCTTGGAGCCAAGTGAGATGGGAAGAGGCACGCCTTTAAGACTTGGGTAAGTTCCACTTCAGCGTTTCTGTCCTCAGTGGGTCATGTTCATCTTTGCTGTTCAAAAGAGCTATAAGGCTGGGGACTCACTTGCGACCGGGATGCGTCCTCTTCTGAGCTTGTTGAGAGGTGATCCTAAGTCCCTATGGATTCAGTTCCTGAGTTACTCTGCTCTCTGATTCGTACAGAGTAAGATCAGGAATAGACTCTGGCAGCCCTTGTGACATAACAACACGGTCTCATTTGTGTAGTCTTTGCCCCTCTCCTCTCACCTTTCTTCTTTGTCTTAGAACCTCCCATCCCATGATCCCCATCTGCCTTTTCTTCCCACAGCTTCGTGGCTGGTGTGATTAACCGGGAGCGCATCCCTACATTTGAGCGTATGCTTTGGCGTGTGTGCCGGGGAAATGTGTTCCTGCGACAGGCTGAAATCGAGAACCCCCTGGAGGATCCTGTGACTGTAAGACAAGGAGATTGCGTCCTGGGGAGTAGGTCTTGTAAAGGGAGCCCAGAGCAGTAATGCAGCATGGGGCCACCTGAGTCTGCCCCTTCTACAGGGGAGCCCTGGTGTTTATCCCTGCTTTGATATGAGAATTTGCAGGACTGCTCCTTTCCTCACTTTACTCCCATCATTGTATACATATGATGTATAATGGCATATATGTATTAATATTTTCAAGCTTTACCATGTAGGTTTTATTTCAATTGGTAATTTTTTTCCACTTATTTTAAACTTTAGCTTTGTATATTTTCTGTTATTGGTATGGGACTGAAAGAAAATTTGCCTTTTATGAAAATTGACTTAAAGCAAGACATCTGGTTCCAAATTTGGTAATATCCATGTATAAAAAGAGAAGAGATTTCCTAAACTGTGATCTTTATAAGCTGATGAAATTTTACTTGGTAAGGTTTTTTTGTCTACTTATTTGTTGGGAGAATCAGAAACTTAGTTTAAGAATATATATTGTGCAAGATAAGAATATCTTCCCCACTCAGTGCTTTGGAAAGTAGGAGCAGCTTAACATCCTGGCATTTGACATAATGGGACAGAATTTATAACCTGAGCCTACATGGGTATGGTAAGTCCTGATTTCAGGGATTACAAGCAAAGATTAAAGGTATTGCAGAAAGTTTACTTTGCTTTTGTGCTAGTATTATTTAGAAGCCTAGAGTTGGTTTTTCTATTCTAAATTATCTTGTGAATTTCTTAATTAGTGTTATTTGTTCTACCTAAGAAGAGCCATTGAATTGTGAGATTTCTCGGATTAGGTGGGTCATGTAGCTATATGGCTTTTATCGTCCATACTGAGTAGGAGTGTCGTAGCACTTATGGTAAATCCCTTTACCTACGGAGGTAGTTTTACAGTCTTACTGAAGGCTGTCTTGGGTTGTAAAAACATTGTAATCTGTAGTCACACCCAATGTGGAGCTGTTCTCAGGAATATTCAGTCAGGTTTCCTCTTGGCAACAGAAAGATTATTTTATCAACAAATCCAGGAAAAGGGGCCCTGGATATTGTAACAGAGCAGCTGCCCAAAGACTGGACCGTAGTTTAGCCTGGAGAATTTAGGGATTTAAGAGGCTGGAGCGTAATTTTCTACAATTCTCATGTCCTTTATCCTTCTAAAGTTTTGTTTGTTTTCTTGTTATAAAAGCAGCACATGCTCTGTACATAGATGAGAAAATACAGCCAGCCAGGGGACATCCTGGTTAACACTGTGTATACCTTATTTGTCCAGTCTTCCTTCTAGTCCTTGCATTATACTCCAATTGTAAACTTTGTATTCAGAATGGATTGCCTTTCTCCCTGCCCCATACAGTCTAAATTAGCATGAATCATGAGATTCTACATCAGCATTCTCCCCAGCAACTCAGTTCCTTATAGTTATTCAACCCATTATATCTGTGAATTTCTAAGCACCAAACAGAGAGAAACGGCTTCCTTCTCTTTTCCCTCCTCTATACTTATGCCATTCAAACAATATAAGATTTAAAGTTGAATTGGTAAGTAAGGCTAAATAGTGCTAGGAGGAATACCATTTTAGCTCCTCTGTGAAGCTCCTGGCTGAGTCAGAAAACAAATAGAGAAAGATTTTTGTGGATGGGCAGATGTTCTTGTAGTGAAGTTTAAGAAATGGAATGAGGGTGGTAGTTAAAGTACAGGACTGTCATCTCCTTAAAAGATGCCTTTTGTTCCTGTATCACTGCAAAAGTTTGCTATTGAAGAAGTTTTCATCCAGGTTTAGAAGCCTGAACTCTTGGTGTTTGATTCTGGGGCCTAGGGCGACCACGTGCACAAGTCTGTGTTTATCATTTTCTTCCAAGGCGATCAGCTGAAAAACAGAGTCAAGAAGATCTGCGAAGGGTAAGAGAAACATTAACTTTTGAGCTTTAGAATAGTGAAACAAATCCTTTTTTTTTTTTTTTAAGTTACCCAACTAGCAACCTTTATTCTCTATCTCTCTCTCTTTTTTCTTTTTTTTTGAGGCAGAGTCTTGCTTTGTTGCCTAGGCTAGAGTGAGTGCCGTGGCGTCAGCCTAGCTCACAGCAACCTCAATCTCCTGGGCTCAAGCGATCCTGCTGCCTCAGCCTACCGAGTAGCTGGGACTACAGGCATGCGCCACCATGCCCGGCTAATTTTTTCTATATATATTAGTTGGCCAATTAGTTTCTTTCTATTTATAGTAGAGACGGGGTCTTGCTCTTGCTCAGGCTGGTTTCGAACTCCTGACCTTGAGCAATCCGCCCGCCTCGGCCTCCCAAAGTGCTAGGATTACAGGCATGAGCCACCTCGCCCGGCCTGTTGTTTTTAATCTCAAGAAAATTGCATAGCTACAGAGAAGGTCAAGATAGTTCAAATGTTGTTGCTCTGTCTGCAGGTAACTTCATATATAAATAATTAGTGTTGCTTTAACATATTAGTCTGACCTAATCCTGTTTTGGTTATAGTAAATTAGGATTACTTTCTGAGATTATTTAAATTGGAAGGCAGCCATGCTCACCACTATACCACCAACACCTTCTGAGATTATTTAAATTGGATAGGTTAAAAGATTGTGACCTTCCTAAGGCCATGTCTGTTCATTCCAGGTTCCGGGCCTCACTCTATCCCTGTCCTGAGACACCACAGGAGAGGAAGGAAATGGCTTCCGGCGTTAATACCAGGATCGATGACCTCCAAATGGTACACAGAGGGTTGGCGGGGATTTGTTTTTGTGAAATACTACAATAGAAGGCCATTCTTCTTCCTTGAAACAGTGACAGTTCATTAGGTACCTGTGGCAAACCAGGATACCATAAAAAGAAAGGTCCACGGGTAATATGTTTCTCTGGGAACAGGGGAAAGCCTCAGGGAATGACCGTTAAAAATAGCATTAGTCCTCAGACGAAGCAGGAATGCTAAGCATCTGGAATCGTTGTTGCTTAGAGTATTCAATTCCCCTCCACCTCATGAGTCTGAGATATTTTTTTATAATAAAAAAAATATGCTTAGTTACAAGAAAAAAAAATCAAATAATCCGGAAGTACATATAAAGTCAGTTCACACACACGCTGTGCCTACTGAGGCAGCCACTCTTAATACTTTTGGCACATTTCCTTCTAGTCACCTTTGATCTTAACAACACAGTCTGGCCAAAGAGCCCTGGTGTGACTCTTGTACCCAAGAAGAGATTGTATCAGGTTTTACCAAATTGCAGTGTGTGTGGTTTACACACACCATGGTTGTCACAGGGTGCTAGGGAGGAGTCGTGATTTTTGCATATGTGGAAGGAAAGGGTGGCAGTGGAGCTTTGTTCCCTTTTGAAGAGATGAATGTGATGATTGCGCCCTTGAAACATTAATAAACATACTTAATCCCAAAGCCAGTTCCTTCCGGCAGTGGCAAAATTGTCAGAGGTGTGTTGTAACTCCCATTTCAATTCCCTTTCTCGTCTTTCCCACCAAGCCCCATTATATATGCCCCACCCACTTGACCTGTAGTCGCTCCTTTAAGATACACTTACCTATTTAGCCACAGAGAGAGAGATTTTTAGCACCGCTGGTGAGTGACAGGCTGTATTAGTACATTCTGGGTTCTAGGGCTGTCTTATTTCCTTTTAGGCTTAGATTTAAAGGACATGTACAGTAGTCATTGTAAATGACTAGAATTTGATTTTTTAAAAATCCAGCTATCGGAACTGAAACTTTAAAAAGGAATTGAGCCGGACGCGGTGGCGCGCGCCTGTAGTCCCAGCTACTCGGGAGGCTGAGATGGGAGGATCGCTTGAGCCCAGGAGTTCTGGGCTGTAGTACGCTATGCCGATCGGGTGTCCGCACTAAGTTCGGCATCAATATGGTGACCTCCCGGGAGCGGGGGACCACCAGGTTGCCTAAGGAGGGGTGAACCGGCCCAGGTCAGAAACGGAGCAGGTCATAACTCCCTTGCTGATCAGTAGTGGGATCGCGCCTGTGAATAGCCACTGCACTCCAGCCTGGGCAACATAGCGAGACCCCGTCTCTGAAAAAAAAAAAATGGAATTGAATACCAAGAAGTGAGATAAGGAAAGAGAAAAGCAAATAGAACATTGCTTGCAAGTTTGTTTTTCATCCTTCCAGAAGTGTTATTAATAATAGTAATTGTGAATAATCAACAAGCAGGAGAGAAGGTTGCTGTCTTCAAGTGACATAAGTGTTGCCCTAGCATGCCATGGCTTTTGTTTTTAATGTAAATTTTGATTTTCTTTATTTATTGTTTGTTATTTCTTTTTTTAAAGACTTAAAATATATATATTTAAAGGTAATATATAACCCTCTTTAAAAATAACCAAGTTAAGATCATTGATTGGGAATGAAAAAAATCAATAGTGACATTTAGAAGCAGAAATGCAAGAGAAGTTGCTGGACACGGCCCCTTCTAGCCCGGGTAGCACAGCAGAGGGGCGACGTTACTTTATGATCCCAGGTACACACTCGCAGGTAACAGAGAACCATCCCGAGCATCCGTCACGCAGGCCAAGGGCCCCACTCAAGCCGGGGAATCAGAAATAGGTCAGCTCATCGCCTTTGGTTTTGTCGGTCTGGTAGTTAGACAGGGCCAAGGGCTTGTTTTCATGAGGAAGACTTTCAAATACCCTCAAGTGCGCGAAGTTATCGTCACCAACGTGAACCTTGATGAAGTGGTTCGTGCCCGCGACCACCTGCTTCTTGAATGACACAGCCTTGAGGACGGGGAACTTCTTATTTTCTTTCTCTTCAAGCTGGGACAGCACCTGGTCGGCGATGTGCTGCATCTCGGCCGTGGCCGGCTGCGTGGTGCTGGGCGCTCCGCACATCATCTCGGCAGCGGCGGAACCGGCGGGTGGGAACCCGACAACAGGCTGTTTGTTATTTCTATCTTTTTTAGTGCCATAAGTGTAGAGAATTTTGTTTTACTTTTTAAAGAAACCTCTTTATAGAAGTCACCTTCCTCTGCCCAAGACAGTTTTTCAAGGAGTAGTTACTGCTTTGTTCTGAACTAACTCAAAGAACCATCTATAGTGGAGACTTGTGATTAACATGGCTAGTGTGTCGCTTTTTCCTTTTCAAAGAGTTGTGGAGATTTAAGACAGATTCTCACAGAGAAGTGTTGAGTGGTGCTTTGCTTGCCCAGTTCCTTCCAGTTTCAAGCAATAGGCTTAGCCAGCCTCTCTTCTGCTATTGAACACCTTAAATATTTGGTAATAAAGTAATAGAATGTAAAATGTCCCTGCACCTATTCCAACCCTAGTTTTGGCAGTGTGATTCCTCTCAGGGAAATCTGAACTAGTTTCCAGAGGATCAATGCTGAAATGTTTTTCCTTTAAGAATGCCGACAGAAAGGTAAAGCCTTTATCAGCCCCATGATGGCAATGGTATGTGGTGGTCCAAACCCTCTCCAGAGACCACGTGTGCTCCTAATCCCTTGGCATCTCCCGGCTCATGTCCTTGCTTAGGCAGGCGATGGTGGTCAGCACTGCCTCTTTCTACCTTTTGCTGATACTGGCTCATGTGCACAGAGAGGACTCTGCAGGTGGCTGTTCTTTAGTGTGGGTTTGTTCATTTGTCTGCTCCTTGAGTCTGAGTTCCAGTCTCCATATAGAAAGTCACTGCTCTTTAATGAGCCAGGTAAAAACCAGTGACCTACATTTGTTGTGCTTTGGATTGGTGGTAAGATTGACTCTAGAGAGAAAAGCTAGAAACCATTTTCTCAGGTTTCTCTTCAGCTTGAAGCTAAATGAAAGTGGATGTTAGTAACTAGAACTTCTAGCCAGAGGAAGAGAAAGATAATTCCCTGGCAGTCTTTTTCAGAAAGCTATGCCTCTTTGTCATTCCTGTCCTGAGATCTAAGAGTGGTGGTAGAAGGATCTCTCCCTTGTTCTTTTCTCTTCCAAAAGGTTCTGAATCAAACGGAGGATCACCGCCAGAGGGTTCTGCAGGCAGCGGCTAAGAACATCCGTGTCTGGTTCATCAAGGTGCGGAAGATGAAGGCCATCTACCACACCCTGAACCTGTGCAACATAGATGTGACCCAGAAGTGTCTGATTGCAGAGGTCTGGTGCCCCGTCACTGACCTTGACTCTATCCAGTTTGCACTGAGAAGGGGCACGGTGAGTCTCCAAAGCTAGCAATGCAGCTTGTGGCCAGAAAGAGATGTGCCTATCAATAGTAATATTAATTTCATTTTTATGTCATTTTTACTTTCAGAATTCTTTAATATATCCATCTTGTATCCTGACAGTACATTCATATACCTAGGATAGCCTAGAGTACTATCCTTTTTTTTTCTTTTATCATGTTTAAAAATTTTTTTAAATTTTTTCCCCCCAAATCATGACTTGTTAGAGAGTATTATCCTTATTTTGCAGATGTGGAAAGTGCAGTTCAGAGAGGTGATTTGGTCATATGCCCATGATTCTTCAGGGTAGCTCATGACCTGACTATCAATTTCTTGACCCACACTCTGTATTCAACTACTTCTGTTTGGTAGTTAGTTAGATCAACTGCTCCATCCGAGGCCCTGCTTTAAGGGCCTGGAGGGGAATAAAGATGTACGGAACATGCCCGCAAGTATCTTACAGTTCATTAAGAGAGGATAATATACATACAAGATAGTCTGTGCCAAGAATGGCATATATGTGTAGGGGGAGGTGTGGAGCTTTTCCAACTATGGTAATTGGGAAAAGCTTCAAGAAGGAAGGTGACATTTGATCAGGGCATTGAAGAAAGGATAAGATGTTGATCAGCAACGAAGAGAAGAAAGCAGTATGGACAAAGGCAGGAAGTACAGTGCAACCATGCATGCTTGGGCAAGGACAAATGGGTTCTTTTAATGGGTTAGTTGAAAGAGTGGGAGTACCTGTCTGCATCAGAAGACTGGAACCTAATTATAAAAGGTTTTATTTAAAGCTACAGGTTAGAAAGTTTAAATTTTATTCTAGACGGAATTGGGAGGCATTGGAATTTATTTAGTGGTGAAGGAACATGATCAAAACAGTTTTAAAAGAGTAATCTGCTGTTAGTATCTAGTTTGGATTGAGGAGTGGAGAGATTCTGCAGGCAGAGGTCACTTAGGAGGTTTTTATAGACATAGAGTGGGAAATGCTGAAGACCCCTAGATAGGACTTGACAATGGAAAGAGAAAATAATGATGCATTTGGGCCAGGCTTGGTGGCTCTCGCCTGTAATCGTAGCACTCTGGGAGGCCAAGGTGGGTGGATTGCTCAAGGTCAGTAGTTCGAGACCAGCCTGAACAAGAGTGAGACCCCATCTCGACTATAAATAGAAAGAAATTAATTGGCCAACTAAAAATATATATATAGAAAAAATTAGCCGGGTATGGTGGCGCATGCCTGTAGTCCCAGATACTCGAGAGGCTGAGGCAGGAGGATCACTTGAGCCTAGGAGTTTGAGGTTGCTGTGAGCTAGGCTGACGCCACGGCATTCTAGCCCGGGCAACATAGTGAGACTCTGTCTCAAAAACAAAACAAAACAAAAACAACTTACGTTCATGCCTTTTGTCCACTTTTTTATGTGGTTGTTTATTTTTTTCTTGATGATTTGTTTGAGGTCTTTATAGATTCTGGATATTAGTTCTTTGTTGGATGTATAGTTTGTGAATATTTTCTCCCATTCTGTGGGTTGTCTATTCACTCTGTTGATTATTTCCTTTGTTGTACAGAATGTTTTTCATTTAATTAAGTCCCATTTATTTACTTTTGTTGTTGCTGTATTTGCCTTTGGAGTGTTAGTCATAAATTCTTTGCCTAGGCCAATTATTAAGAAGTCAAAAAACAGTAGATACTGGCATAGATGCAGAAAGATAGGAACACTTACACACTTTTAGTGGGACTGCAAATTAGTATAACCTCTATGGAAAACAATATGGAGATTCCTCAGAGAAATAAATATAGACCTACCGTTCGATCCAGTAATTCCACTGCTGGGTATCCACTCAAAAGAAAAGAAGTCATTATCTCAAAAAAAGACTCCTGCACCCAAATGTTTATTATACCACAATTCACAATTGCAAAGATGTGGAACCAACCTAAGTGTCCATCAATTCATGAGTAGATAAAGAAAATGTGGTGTATCTATACCATGGAGTAACATGGAGTATTACTCAGCCATAAAAAGGAATGAACTAATGTCATTTGCAGCAACTTGGGTGGAACTGGAGACCATTATCCCAAGTGAAGTATCTCAGGAATGGAAAACCAAACACTATATGTTCTCACTAATAAGTGGGAGCTAAATGATGGGTACATATGGACACAAAGAGGTGTAAAGAACACTGGAAACCAAGAAGGGGGAGGCCAGGAGGGAAAGTATGGGATAAAAATTTACCTATTGGGTACAGTGAACACTGTTCTGGTGACGGACACGCCAAAACCCCTGATTTAAGCATCATACAGGGTATCTAAAAGAAAAAAAATGTTTCTGAGGCATCAAAGCTGAGTGGCTAGGAGAATTAGGGTTACACTGATGGAAGTAAAAGTTCAGCAAGGGAGGCTTACTGATGGAAGAAAGATAGTCAGTTCAGTTTGCAGCCACATTAAGGTGCTGGACAGAAATCTATGTGAAAAGGTCAAGCAGACAAGAGGACAGAAGTAAGGAAATGGGAGTCATGAGAGTGGAAGGGAATGAGGCTTCCAAGAGGGAGATCAGAGAGAGAAAATAGGGAAGCCCCTTGAGGGCCTGCAATCTTACAAGGACAGGCAGAGGAGAAAAAGCCAGCAAAGAGAGAGGAGTGGTTAGAGAACAGGAGGAAAACTCCTAAGGAATAAAGATTTTCACCAAAGAAAAGTTCTCCAGTGTTAGGGAACTTGCACCTGGAGAAAAAAACCCTTTGGGTAGGGTGGTGAGCCACTGATTTTGAATGAGCATGTTCAGCCGAACTACAGGGGATTAGGGAGTTAAGAGGAGGCAGTAAAGTAGAGGCAGAGAATATGCTTTGCTTTATCCAGGAAAGGAGAGACCAGCGCTATTCATACAAAGGCAGATATGGAGGGGGTTCCACATTGTCTTTGGTGTTACACATTTTAGAGTTAAATTTTATTCACAGTAAGGATGTACTTTCCAAGACCTAATTGAAGTCTTCCATTTAAAATTTTATACGCAGTCCTAGTTTCCCCAAAGACTGGGAAAGATAACCTGCCATTTTATTTTTTCATTAGTTTTATTGAGATATAATTTACGCAAAAGAAAATACATATATTTTATTTGTACAGTTTGGTGAGTTTTGATATATACACCTGTGTAGCCACCACCACAATTAGGAGGAGAACCTAATTTTGTTATCTGTGTTAATATTTCCCAGGAACACAGTGGCTCCACTGTACCCTCCATTTTGAACAGGATGCAGACAAACCAGACTCCTCCAACCTATAACAAAACCAACAAGTTTACCTATGGCTTTCAGAACATAGTAGACGCTTATGGAATTGGAACTTACCGAGAGATCAATCCAGGTAATAAAAGCTTGTATCTTCTTCCTCTAGAGGTTTTTGTTTGTTGTTCTTTTAATGCCTCACTTTAAATGCTGTTTAACATCTGGCTTAAAATGGAAGATGTTATCAAGACCTCAATTCTTTGTAGTTCCTGTGAAGAGGTGTTCATTTGACACACGGAGCAGATTTTTCACCAGGTAGCACTCCTTTAAGAGCTCATTTGATTGGATTCGTCCATGTGCCCTCACAGCAGTAAAACACCTGGGCTTCTCTAGCAAACCATCTGCAGGAAGGAGCTGCTTTAAGCAAAATACTTCTTCCAAGATGTCTGTTATTTTAAAATGGCTTCTTCCTGGCTTCTCTGTTCAAAGTTATACAGAGAAAATAAAGCAATAATTGACCATTTTAGGTACAACACAGATTTCTCCTCTGTAAATAATTATTAAATCAAGAGTGTGAATGTTTGTTTTCAGCTGGAGTTTGATGCACGCCCTGCTTTGCCCTGGTTCTGGGCTTACCCAGACTGCTTGGTAGCTTTATTCAACTGGGAAATGGTTGCTGCACAAAGAGAATACAGCTAGCCTGCCCCAGGTGCGGTGTCCCAGGGGTTAGAAAAAGAGAATCAAAGAACAAACCACAGTGTTGCTTGGGCTACACTTTCTTTCTTTCTTTCTTTTTTTTTTTTTTTTTTAGAAAAGAGATTTTTCTTTTTTCCAAAAATTGCACCAAGGTAAAGCAAAGCTCTAGCTGATGTGGGTGTGCTGTGTAGGCGTTAGCAGTATTGCCCTCACTACTCGTTCATTGGACAGTAGCGCTACCCCAAGGAAAGGATGGGGGCTACACCTTCATTTCCAGTGTTCTTTGTGTAAAGTGTTGTCAGTAGCTCAGGTTCCATTAGAGGCTTTGTGAGGGTGTGTAGATCCCGCCATGAAAGATTTTCCCTGTCTGGCAGCTGGGGAATAAGTCACTTTATAGTGATCTTAGAGTATGGAAAAGAATGTGAGATTTAGGGAATTGTGGTTTTATGCATTTTATGTTTTTTTTTTTTTTTTTGGTTTCTATATAGCTCCATATACCATCATCACTTTCCCTTTTCTGTTTGCTGTGATGTTTGGGGACTTTGGCCATGGCATTTTGATGACCCTTTTTGCTGTGTGGATGGTGTTAAGGGAGAGCCGGATCCTTTCTCAGAAGAATGAAAATGAGGTAATGTTTAATTTACATCTGCATTGGACTGAAATTTTATTTTAATTTCTCAAGTATACATTATGAAAATTTTGATCTGGAAATCTTTTATCCAAAAGAGAATAGTGGCCAGACTCGGTGGCTCACGCCTGTAATCCTAGCACTCTGGGAAGCCGAGGCAGGAGGATTGCTTGAGGTCGAGACCAGCCTGAGCAAAAAGGAGGTCTACCAAAAATAGAAAAATTAGCCAGGCATTGTGGCGCATGCCTTTAGTCCCAGCTACTTGGGAGGCTGAGGCAAGAGGATTGTCTGAGCCCAGGAGTTTGACATTGCAGTGAGCTGTGATGACACCACTGTACTCTATCTGAGGCTATAGAGTGAGACTCTCTCTCTAAAAAAAAAAGGAGGGGTGGAGAATAGAGAAGTTATGTTCATTTTAACACTGAAGAGGCCATGTGTTACCTCGATGTGGTGATACATGCCTGCCATCCCAGCTACTCAGGAGCCTGAGGCAGGAGGATGGCTTGAGCCCAGGAGTTCAAGACCAGCCTGGGCAGCATGGCGAGACCCCATCTCCAATGAATAAATAAATAAAGAGACCATGTGCTGTGAAAGTGAATTTCTCATTAGCATTGTATTTTCGTCTTTACTTCAAGCTCTCTGTATCAGGATGGGTAAAATAGTACCAGAGGAAGGGGCTAGTCTATTCTAAATGACATTGTCACATGAGCTGCAGTGAGTACATTCTCATTACTTCTTTCTTCTGGTTCCCAGATGTTTAGCACTGTGTTCAGTGGTCGATACATTATTCTGTTGATGGGTGTGTTCTCCATGTACACTGGCCTCATCTACAATGATTGCTTTTCCAAGTCTCTTAATATCTTTGGGTCATCCTGGAGTGTACGGCCGATGTTTACTTTTAATTGGACGTAAGTTGCTGAAGAAGCTAAAAGTCAAAACTTATTCCTTTCATATTCATCCCTGATTTTTAAGACAAATGGTAAATTAACACTTCTTTAGGAAGTGGTTGACAGTGTCTGTGTTTCAGAAGAATGCAGTGTCTCTTCTTACTTATGCTCCAGCCTGTGAAGTGCTTTGTGATTTGCTTCGCAAATATCAACAAACTGAAACTATAAATCAAGTGCTTTCTTTTTTTGTTAATTAAAAGCAGATTCCCCAAATTCCCTACTTGGTTGTGTGTATGTGTCTAATTTTTCTTTTTGTCATCTCTGATCCCTCATTCTCAGTTACTAGTGCCTACTCTTTTTTCCCCTCTTCTTTTACTGAAGAGACAGATAGCTGTAGTAGTCTCTTTTGGGGTCACTATCTGGAGCCCCATTGTTTTCCTATCTCGGTGAAAATAAATGTGACTTTTTCTCCAATCGTGGTAGGGAAGAGACACTTCGGGGGAACCCTGTTCTGCAGCTGAATCCCGCCCTCCCTGGAGTTTTTGGTGGACCATACCCTTTCGGCATTGATCCAGTAAGAGCACTTCTTTCCTGCATGCTTACCTCACATGTTTTACCTGTACCCTGAAGTGAGAGAACTAAAGTGGACATAGTTATTTGGTTTTTTTGTTAATACATTTTTGGAAAACCTTGATGTATCTGTTCAGAGCACTTCAAAGCCATAGAGACCCAGGTGCTTTGGGGAGCCACATATTTTTTCCTGTACTGCTTTCTTTCTTGGTTTATTTTCAATGCACATAGTTCAGAATGCACTGTTTATTTCTGAGGTGGCTAATAATGTTGACTTTGGGAAGATTGATTTTCAAGACTCCTTCCCCATTCTTAATTTATTTCTGCTTAACTTAGTTTGGTTTTTTATTTTTAGCATATGTTTCAACAAAGCAGAAATCTCTCTTTCCTATGGATTTTAGACTTCCATTCTTGCCTTTACAGACTTAACAAAAACTCATCCCAGAATGTATGATCAAATCTTTTTTATTGTGTGCTAAAAAAAAAGAGTGGGGGCAAGAATCTAAGAATAAGCATGAGACAAGTAGGGATTACAGAATTCCAGATCACTGTGGGCTGGAAAGATTAAGGTTTCTTATAGAAAGTGGGAATTAATCTAGCCTTTAAAAATTTTTTTCACATTGTTATAGGTAAGGAGAAGTATATGCAAAAGCATAGAGATGAGAGATACAAATAATTATTAATATAATTAATTATTTTAATTATAATAGAAGTTAATGTTACTGAAATGCTTACTATGAGCCAGGAGCTCTGCTAACACCCAATATATGTGATTTAATACTCAAAACAGCAGTACGGCTGCCCTTATATACATGTAAAGAAACTGAGGCGTGAAGAGGTTTAATAATGTTTTATGTATTCATTTAACTAATGTTTATTGAATCCTGGGAGTGAGGTGGCACACACCCATAGTCCCAGCTACTTAGGAGATTGAGGTGGGAGGATCATTTGAGCCCAGGAGTTCAGGAACAGCCTGGGCAACATATAGAGAGTCCCTGTCTCAAAAAAAGAGAAGAAAAGAAAAAATTTTATTGAATCCCTATTTTCTGTAAGACATAGTATCTGCTGGGTGAAACATAATTTTAAGATGTAGCTCCTTCCCTTAAGTAGCTTGGAGTCTAATAACAATAGTTACCTTTATATTCATGTAGTGTTCTATGGTTGTGAAGTTTTTGTGAAGATCTCTCATTTGAGGCGTACAGGGTAGATGTTGACTTTGAAGTACCTGTGGGACACCCAGGTACAAATGCCCATCCAGCGGTTGGAGTTGCAGAACTGAATTTCAGGCGAACTAGGGCTGGAGAAAGAGCCAGTCACAAGTTTTCATGTTAGAGGTCACTGAGGATGAGTTCTTGATGTGAAGGCAAGAGCAGCCTGAGCAAGAGCAATACTCCGTGTCTAATAAAAACAGAAAAATTAGCTGGGCGTTGTGGCTCACACTTGTGTGTACTCCAAGCTACCTGGGAGGATGAGGCAAGAGGATCACTTGAGCCCAGGTGTTTGAGGCTGCAGTGAGCTACGACAATGCCACTGCACTCTACCCAGGGTGACAGAGTGAGACTCTCTCTCCAAAAAAAAAAAAAATTCTGTCTACTTAAGTAAATGTTTAGAATTTTCCATAAAAAAAAAAAAAAAAAACTCCTGTTTTTTAAACAGATAAATAATATTTTTCCATTTGAGAATTCTTTGTAATACCTTTTTGTTTCCTTGTGTTGTGACAGATTTGGAACATTGCTACCAATAAACTGACCTTCCTCAACTCCTTTAAGATGAAGATGTCTGTTATCCTTGGCATCATCCATATGTTGTTTGGAGTCAGCTTGAGCCTTTTCAACCATATGTGAGTTTCTCTCTTGTGTCATAAGAATGGGCATAGTTTAGATAATGTTTTTATCTAAAGAAATCATGACATCTTTAGGAATGGACTAACTCAGAACCCCATTCTACATTATAGAAGTGCTTTTATAAAAAATCTGATGATCTCAAACGAGGTATATTTTTTTTGTTTTCTTTGAGACAGAGTCTCGCTTTGTTGCCCAGGCTAGAGTGAGTGCTGTGGCGTCAGCCTCACTCACAGCAACCTCAAACTCCTGGGCTCAAGCAATCCTGCTGCCTCAGCCTCCCAAGTAGCTGGGACTACAGGCATGCGCCACCATGCTGGGCTGATTTTTTTCCATATATATTAGTTGGCCAATTAATTTCTTTCTATTTTTAGTAGAGACGGGGTCTCGCTCTTGTTCAGGCTGATTTCGAACTCCTGACCTCGAGCAATCCTCCCGTCTCAGCCTCCCAGAGTGCTAGGATTACATGGCTGTTGCTTCTTAAAGTGATAAAGACAGAATTGAAGGAGTGTTAGGTACAGAACAATCTTCACTCAGTGGAGGAGTGGCCCTGGGTCTATTCAGCCTTAACATTTCTTTTCTCTCTCCTTTTTAGCTATTTCAAGAAGCCCCTGAATATATACTTTGGATTTATTCCTGAAGTAATCTTCATGACCTCTTTGTTTGGCTACTTGGTTATCCTTATTTTTTACAAGTGGACAGCCTATGATGCTCATACATCTGAGAATGCACCAAGCCTTCTGATCCACTTCATAAATATGTTCCTCTTCTCCTACCCAGAGTCTAATAAATCAATGCTATATTCTGGACAGGTACATCAACCCAGCGGGAGGCTGCCTCAGGTGGTGACCCTAGGTCAGGAAGCCAGATGTTTCTCTGACTCTAACAAAGCCTAAAAAAGCCATTCTGTATTATGTGGATTTTAGCCCATATATGCAGATCTAAATTCAGACCATCTTCCTTAAGCTTGGAAGGATCCACTGTGATTTCTGTATCCAGAAAGGGTAGAATTTATAACTACCATCCTATGGGGCAATTATTAGGCTTTGTTGCAACATCTGCTAATTATTTTGCGAAACTGAATAGCGTTATTCATATAGCAGTAAGAAAGTACTGTTTGGGGGGAAATTTGTACTGGAGTTGATCTGTACTGCGTGTTTGATTAATGGACTTTTATGTGATGTGGCCTTGTCCTCCTCCTTACTTTGCAGAAAGGAATTCAGTGTTTCCTGGTAGTGGTTGCGCTACTGTGTGTACCTTGGATGCTGCTGTTTAAACCACTGGTCCTTCGCCATCAGTACTTGAGAAGGAAGCATTTGGTGGGTGTATTTCTATTGCTGAAAGTTACTAGACTTTTTTTTTCCCCTCAAGATTAAGGTAATTCCCCAGTGGATATAATTAATTGTCCACAAATCTATATGCTCTTAAAATGCATCTGTGTTATATCTCAGCATGAGCACTGAGCCTGCCGAAGTCAGAGAAACATGTATTTGCTGCTCAGACAGCTGGAGTCAGCTTTCAGTAGCTGGGGTAAAGAGAACAAGTCACAAAATTTTACCTTTCCTGGTCATGCTTTGCTCACGCTGTGCTCAGCAGGATCCAGACCTGGGCCTGTTGAGATGCAGCGTCAGCCAAAGCGAGACTGCAAGAGCTGCAGGCGTTGAACCCACTAGTGTGGTTTGCCTGGGCGACCACAGCACTGACGCTGAGACATCACCTTTTAAAATGTGACACTGTGATACTTTCACTGATTAAAACATCCAAGAAAAAGATTTGGTTTAAAGCACATGGATTTTTTTTTTCTTTTTAAAAAGCAGGCATACATGCATGTGTTTACTGACTGTATTTGTGCATATGAATTCTGCAGACACAAATTTAAATTTACCATATGTCCAGTACTGTACATAATTTCTAGCTATCCAAAAGTGCATACTTATTACACTGCCTGAAAAAACCCAAAAGATCATGTTGCATGACTCTCATACGGGTGTTAGATTATTACTCCTGTTGGAGAGCAGCTGAGTTACGAGACCCTCCTTCTCCCTTTTCTGACCATCTTCATCCTTCCATGTGCCCTCCATTCGTCTCCCCCTTCACTCCCTCCCTCTTTTGTTTTCTTCTCCCTTCCTCTTTTCTTCCATTTACTATCAGGAAGGGCAACCTGTGGAGGCCCCAGTCAGCCCAACCCCGAGCCAACAGGGAGTAGAGGCAGCAGCGGCTGCAACAGTGAGTGAATTAAAACCAACAAACCATCACATTTTGTTTAAAGAGGTGGCAAACAGTGCAGCAGAATTCTTTTTTAACTATAGTGAGAGCATGGGACATGTGTGCTCTTGGGAAGTTTGTCCTTGTTACTCATTGAGATGATGGCAGAAAAAGATTTCCACCTCTTGAGAATAGATTCTGGTATCATCTTTACCATTGGTCTACTAAGTTTCTATTCAAATATGTAAGTACAGTCATGTCCATGGGAACAAAGTGGCTATTGTACCCTCTCCAAGTCCCATCATCTTAATCAAGGATGGCAGCTCTTGGACTCATCCACTTTCATGTCTGTATTTTGTGACCATGTATTGGATGATTTTTCAGCATGGAGGCAAGAATATCTCTGATTCTTGAATTCATTTCCCTGCACTTTAGAGTTCTATTTTAGAGTGATGCTTGGACAATTGGTCCTTTTTAGCAGTGACTTACCCTCTTTAAAGTGAAAGTCTATACGTGTTTACTTTTGTATGAGAGACTCAGGGGCCCTCCTGTCCTCAGCTGTTCCAGTGAGACCTCCACTCTCCCATGTGTTCTGTGTGTGCTGTACATCTGGTGTAATAACCAAAGTCATCTTCTGTCTTGATCCTTCCCTTTTCTGATACTAACTCGTGATTCAGTAACAACACTTGAATGTTAAGTTAAGCATGTGAATATTTGTCCTTAAAAACATCTTTTATCAAAATCTTATAATGTAGTAATATCATATTAGCCTGATATATTCTAGGTTATAAATCTATAAGATTTTTAAAATCTCACCAGTAGTGATTACTCACGTACTATGTTCTAATCGCATATGCTCCTTAAAAGAAAATGAAATGAAAGACTTAGTTATATAACCATTTTCTTCATTAGGTGTTTCTGATCATTTAAAAGTCCCCAGTCTAGAAACCTGCACATTCATAGGGTCTTCTTACCCACTTGGTTCTTTAGCCAAACATCTGTTTCTGGAGAGCAGCCTGAAGGCATCAGGATGGTCATTCTATAGGAAGGGCCCTGGATTTTGAGCCCAGAGGGCTGAGGATGTGAACACTGATCTGTTTTTGTTCTGTTCTTTGTCCTTTCGCTTGTCTGTAAGCGGTATTTCACAGTTTAATTTTTCTTTTCTTTCTTCTACTGATGTGTGTCTCTCATCTCCCTTCCTATAACTCTCATTCCCTGTGTTCTGAAGGGATACTTGTTAGTGTCTGGCTGGGAGATTTAAAATTTGGTATATTTTGGAGATTGTTACATAATAATAATCGCTCTTTTTTTTATGGTAGCCTAGCATTCCACAGAATATGCCATTGGATATGCCAAAATTATGTATTCTTTCTCCTTGATAGATATGTTGGTTCTCAGTTCTTTGCAGTTATAAATAGCAATGCAGGGAATATCCTTGTTCATGTATCTTAATGTCCCAGCATTCAGATTGCTGAATCTCAAGGGGTAATTGCATTTTAAATTTTGATAGACCCTTCACAATGATTATACAGTTTGTACTTGGGAAATTTTTTTTCTTTTTTTGAGACAGAGTCTCACTCTGTCGCCTGGGCTAGAGTGCCGTGGCGTCAGCCTAGCTCACAGCAACCTCAAACTCCTGGGCTCAAGCAATCCTCAGCCTCCCAAGTAGTTGGGACTACAGGCGTGCCACCATGACACTGGGCTAATTTTTCTATTTTTAGTGGAGACGGGATCTTGCTCTTGCTAGTCTCAAACTCCTGAAGTCAAGTGATCCTCCCGCCTCCGTCTCCCAAAATGTTAGGATTACAGGCGTTGAGCCACTGCTCCCAGCTGGGAAAATTTTTTTTTTTGAGACAGAGTCTTGCTTTCTTGCCTAGGCTAGAGTGAGTGCCGTGGCGTCAGCCTAGCTCACAGCAACCTCAATCTCCTGGGCTCAAGCAATCCTACTGCCTCAGCCTCCCGTGTTGCTGGGACTACAGGCACGAGCCACCATGCCCGGCTAATTTCATATATATATATATTAGTTGGCCAATTAATTTCTTTCTATTTTTATAGTAGAGACGGGGTCTCGCTCAGGCTAGTTTTGAACTCCTGACCTTGAGCAATCCGCCCGCCTCGGCCTCCCAGAGTGCTAGGATTACAAGCGTGAGCCACTGCGCCCGGCCGGAAAATATTTTTTAAATACAAATTTCCTGGGCCCCACCCCAGACCTACTAAATTTACAATTTCTGGGAGTAGTATTTGAGAATCTTTATTTAAAATGCAACTTTTAAGGTGATTCTAATGCAGCTGGTTCCCTGAACAGCATGTGAGAACCACTGCTGGAGGAAGAGGCAGGATTTTTGCAAACACTGAGGTCTGAGCTGGTCAGTAAGCTGAGGCAAGAGCTGTGGTAAAAGGAACACACCAAAAGTCGAAGCTGAGGATGGGGACCACGAGGCCGTTGACCAGACATGCTTGTGCGCTGTTTGTGCTGCTGCCTGCAGGCCGCTGGCAGGAGAGCCGTCCTGGAACTCTTGCCTTATTTGGCTCCCTGGACAGAAACCACGTGAAGTGGTTCTAGGGACTGTTTCTTAAGTTCCTTTTCACGCTGTGGCTGGTTAGCACTAAGTGGTATCTATCAGACATACCCCAGTTCTGCCTGGTTTTTGTTCTTTTGTTCCAGTAAACTCAAGTTTTTTCAAATCAAGTTGACTAGAAAATTCTGTCTATGGGGACCCTGCTGAAGACTGTACTGTGAAGTCAGAAGAAGCAAATGTCCAGTTGGTGTTTGCCCACATGCCTGTGGAAGAATTGTTTGAACACTCTAGAATCCTCACTGAAGGACAGCAGCCACCTCCCTTTTTTTAAAACTTATTCCTCTCTAGTCACAAATGAATGTACATTAAGGTTTTTTTTCCTTCCCTGATCTAGGAAGTCCTTTGTTCCTGGACAGAGACCCAGTACATTCTGGGAGAGGTTGCTGGAATTGCTGGGCTCCTATTGAAAGCTTATCAGGCCAGGGTACAATCACAGCATCATTTGGCTCCTTGCCCCCTTAGAAAGTCTAGTCTTTAGTTCCAGAAAAGCTTAGACCTTTGCAGGCTGTGCAGGTAGTTAGCACTTGTTATGAGAGTCCGTGCATATTAGGGTTTTCGTTCAAGCAGCATTCTCACTTGGCATTGAGCAAGGCGAGGCCGGTGCCTTTGTTGCAGCAGGCAGAACTGCGCATTTCCTCTGAAGCAGGGTGAGGTGGTCATTGTAGGCTGGGGCAGGGGCAGGGGAGGTGGCGGTTGGGGTGGGAACAGTCGCTTTTACTTAGCTGCTTGATCAGGGGGTTTTGTTTTTGATGTTGGAACATATGCTTTTCTGAGGTTTGTATGTACTAACCGTCACCCTTCCCGCCTCCCAGAATGCCACATTAAAGCCCAGGCAAATTCTACTCTTTCTGTTCATCTGTGTAGGGAACTCTCAACTTTGGTGGGATCAGGGTGGGCAACGGACCGACAGAGGAGGATGCTGAGATTATTCAGCATGACCAGCTCTCCACCCACTCAGAGGACGCGGAAGAGGTAAGATCCAGCGGTGGGGCTTCCTCTCCTTCCACCTCGGGTCGGCCCTAGCCTCACGGACCTGAGAGGCCTCACTCAGTCTGCTCCTTGAAAAATAAAAATACTAATTACTGCTCAGCCTGCCTTCTGGTCTTCTTAGGGCACCAACAGCTTTTGTAGTGGGCGCTGGTCCAGCCCCCGGGCGTTGCCCATAGAGCCCTCAGCAGGTGTGCTCTGTTGGTGGATTCTGAGTTGCCTGCAGTACTCTGCACGCAGATCTCATGCACTGACTGCTCCTCAGCCCCAGACAGACGCCCCCGCATCCCAGCTCTTACAACCTGAAACACAGACCACTCAGGGTAGCTTCTTCATCCCTTGTTCCTTCCAAGAATTGTTCCAGCTATGTTACTGACCAGCTGTAATCACTGGTACTTTTCAAGTCCTATCCCATTGATGTGTTCTTGTTGCACATATTTTGTTTGAACCTTTTTTATGTTATCTGCCTACTTTTTACAGGGAGAATGAAAAGCAGTCAGTCCAGGCTAGACTTTTCTTTAAGACACCACCTCCTAGCCCAGTTTTTTAAAATCCACTCTCCTTGCCTAACTGCTTATAGCACAAAGCCTCTGAATGGAACTATTGAATCTCATCTATTCATGTTGTTCTTTTTAAAGCAAATAGAATAGAAGTTGAGGAGCCAAGTTGGACTTTTCAGTCTGTCTGACCACTTTCATTATGTATATGTTTTTTTAAAAAAGAAATCTCGAGGGTTGGTGTGCCTTTTAAAAATATGTATCTAAATGCTTTAAATTCCTACTGATTTTGCTTTGAGTGTGTGCTGAGGAGGCCTGCCTCCAACATGTTAGCCCCATGTGACAGTAACAGTCCTCCCCAAGAAGCATTCAGTAGCCTCGTGCTCATAACTTGTGACCTTGTGTGTGGCGTGGCTTCCCACTAAGTGTAAATTTGTGTTTTCAAGCCTTCGGAGGACGCGGTGGTAAGATGAAAGCTGGCTTTGCCTTCATGTTTATCTGGGCTTCTCTCTTCCCATCCTTGTGATTACTCTGCTGACCCTGCCGCACCCCGGGGCCACACACATGCCACCCCTGCATCGTGCATTTCACTGGCCATTTCTAACCAGTTCGTGAGCCTGTGTTCTGACAAAGCTCCTCTCCATTAACTGCATCTCATGTCGATCACCTCTGTCTTTGTTTCATTGACTCTGCTGATCTGATGCCTCTGAGAATGGCTTTGAAAGGACCTGCAAGTAATGTCTGCATTGGCATTCTTGAAGTGACCCCCCCTTGGGGGTTAAATCCCATTGGCCTCTGCCTTCCTCTCCTGCGATGTTGTGGTTGCTCCACTCCCAGCCTCTGGGGGTAGCTGTTTCCTCCCTGCTCCTCTGCGTGCTCAGGAGCAAAGCTTACCCTTCCTCCCTGTCTGACAGGCAGCCAGCCTCTTCCTGCTGTCCTCAGCAGCTTATTGGTGCTTCCAGTAAGAATCGCTGGACCCTTGCTTGGGGTCAGCTCTGCCTCCATCTGACACAGGTGGGAGGTGGAAGCTCCGCCTCTCAGATGCATCCCAGAAAAAAATAATTCATCTGTGTGAGAGAAGTTAATATAATATTAGCCACACAAAGAGAATAACAGGGTGGAAAGAAAATTGGCTGAATATTCAGGCTAAATCTAGAGTAGAAGGCCTTCTAGCTGGGTGGTAATTCATTTAGCAACACACATGTTTTGAATTCGGTTTTTAAAAGGCCTTGCTGCACTGTTTGCATCTTCCCCCAGAACTTCTCTCTAAGATACCTAGACCCATGAACTATACCCTGCCCTGTCCTGACTCTCCCTGTCCTCTCTAAGGGGGCAGTGGGATGGGAATGGGTATATCTTTGCTGTTCTGCATAAAAACAGGCAGTGCCTGATCTTCCTGCAGTCTGCAGGCTCCTTGGCTGGCATCGAGGAGTGTCTGTGTTCCTGGACCACTCGTCTGTGCATAGTCACTGGCTGAGCTGCCTGGAGGGGCTGGGGGCGGGGGGAGGGGGCGTGTTCCATGCTGGTGACGAGCCCAGTCCTCTCCTGGGATCACCTCCAACACCATTGCTTTCTAAATGTCTTCTGAGTGGAGCTCCCAATGCCATGGTCATTGTCAGAACAGTCTGACCAGCCGTTTTGTCCCAACGTCCTCATTTATAGCCATGTCCCAGGAGCTTGGACATCCAGACAAGGTGGACCCCAGTTCATCCTCCCCAGTCTCTGGCTGCCCGGCTTCCTCAGTAGTCACAACATTTTACCTTTGCAGGCACATACACAGTCTGATTCTCCACAGCCAAATTTAGGTAACTGTGACAATTATAATTCAGTGACTCCAAAGAAAACAAGTTCTTTAAAAAAAGTTCAGCCTGCTTCTTCTTCTTTTTTTTTGAGACAGAGTCTTGCTTTGTTGCCTAGGCTAGAGTGCTGTGGCATCAGCCTAGCTCACAGCAACCTCAAACTCCTGGGCTCAAGCGATCCTCCTGCCTCAGCCTCCCAAGTAGCTGGGACTACAGGCATGCGCCACCATGCCCGGCTAATTTTTTAAATATATTTTTAGTTGGTCAATTAATTTCTTTCTATTTTTAGTAGAGACGGGGGTCTCGCTCAGGCTGGTTTCAAACCCCTGACCTCGAGCAATCTGCCTGCCTCGGCCTCTCAGAGTGCTAGGATTACAGGCGTGAGCCACCACACCTTGCCCAGCCTGCTTGTTTTACAACTTTTTACTTGGCTGGGAAAACTTGTTTGTCCCATGCAAGCCATTGCTCCAGCCCAGTGGAAGCTTATGTTCTCTCTCTGGGGGGACTCAGGCCGGTTGGTTGTCTGGGAAATCGTTGAAGGCCAGAACCGCTCTTCCTCCCCAGGTGCATCCATCCACCATCCACGCACTCCTCACGCTTCCTGTGCCGAGCACTGTGTTTAGTGCTGCAGAAACCCAGAGGGGAAACATAGTTCTTGCCTTCAGGGATCTCCCACAGTAAGGGGGCAGCAGCCTGGGTGGCACGCGCGGTGACGTGAGTGTGTCAGGAGGGCAGCGCGAGCACAGGAAGGCAGCGCTGACAAACACCGGGCTGCCGCGGGGAGAGGAGACCAGGGAAGGATCCCCAAGGAAGTCATTCCCCAGCTTAGTCTGGTCAAGCAGGAGGCCCTGTGGGGGAGGGGGACGCAGCCCCATCGCCACGTACAGGTGTGTAGAGGCTGAAGGCCGGTAGGCCCGTCACATGCTGGGGTTAAGCAGGTGTTCAGCGTGGCTGAGCACAGGCAGGAGCTGGGGGACTGGAGAGAGGTGAGACTAGACGATGGCAGAGACCATCCTTAGTACCCGTTGCCTCATTTGGGCAACAAGGAGCCATCGGAGGGCAGTGAAGCTGGTCGTGACACAGCCCTGTGTGTGTTGCTGAAATACCCCTAGTGGCAGTATGGTGGGGTGTCTTGGGTTGGGGAGGGGCACAGTCTGGAGGCGTGGACTCTGCCTAGTCTGATGTGATTTAGGACAGAATGGGTCAGCCGGAAGGGACCAGGATGAGACATTAAGGATGTGAGAGCTACAGGTCCCAGTGCCTTACTGAAGTAGGCGGGAAGAGTCAGTGGAGATTTAAGATTGACTCCAGGCTTGGGTGCCCGGGCATGAGTAGTGCCACGCTGTCGGATGTAGAGAGGAAGTAGGTCTCGGTGGGAGCAGAGGGGAGCAGTTACTGCATTGTGTTTGGAGCGTCTGAGTGCTCCAGGAGGAGAGGGCACCCAGATGGCAGGAAAGAGGCAATGTAGAGATGGAGAGGTCCATTTGGGAGTCACTCCAGGGGTGGCCCTTGAAAGCCTGAGTGGCAATCCCACAAGAAAGATGAAAGGACTGAGGCTAGAACTCCAGGGGCATCAGCATTTGAGAAAGAACCATGATGGAGACTAAGGACTGTCCAGAGAGGTAGGGGAACCACGGGGAGGCAGGTGTCTCAAGAAGGAGGAAGAGGCAGTAGTGACAGGCACTGCAGAGGCACAGTCAAGGACATGGACATCTGTTACATTCAACAACGGAGCAGTCAGGGTGACCTTGCTAGGGAGAGCCGTTTTGTGGGCAGCCAGGGTGGAAGCCATGTGCAGTATGGTGAGGAATGGTCGGGCAAGGAGGAAACTGAGGTAGAGTGTGGCCAGAGAGTCTGCAGTGATTCAGAAGTCATAGCTGACTTACACTGGGCACATACCCAGTGACAGACTCCTGGGAAGTGCTGGACTAGATCTCACCCAGTTCTCACCTCACCTGAGAACCTGCAGGAAGTTGGAAATGAAGGAGGGAAGAGGGTGAGGGTATCCTGGACGGGGTGCTTACCCCTACTCTCCTCAACTTTTTTTTTTTTTTTTTTTTTTGAGACAGAGTCTCGCTTTGTTGCCCAGGCTAGAGTGAGTGCTGTGATGTCAGCCTAGCTCACAGCAACCTCACACTCCTGGGCTCAAGCAATCCTCCTGCCTCAGCCTCCCAAGTAGCTGGGACTACAGGCATGTGCCACCATGCCCAGCTAATTTTTTCTATATATATTAGTTGGCCAATTAATTTCTTTCTATTTATAGTAGAGACAGGGTCTCGCTCTTGCTCAGGCTGGTTTCGAACTCCTGACCTCAAGCAGTCCGCCCGCCTTGGCCTCCCAGAGTGCTAGGATTACAGGTGTGAGTCACTGTGCCTGGCCTCAACTTTTTTTAATGGAAGAAACAAGAGGTGAAATAGAAATGCTAAAAGGGGCTGGTTCAAAGGGAGCCCCCTTGACCGCTTCCCTCACAGAGCAGGCGGGAGTGGAGACCCCTGCTCCTTGGGCCATGGACTTGTCCTTTCAGTGTGTGCTGTGGGGCACAGCAGCAATGGTGGGGGAGAGCTGTTTTTTGGGGTTTTTTGTTTTTTGAGGCAGAGTCTCTGTTGCCTGGGCTAGAGTGCCCTGGCGTCAGCCCAGCTCATAGCAACCTCAAAGTCCTGGGCTCAAGCGATCCTCCCGCCTCAACCTCCCGAGTAGCTGGGACTACAGGCATGCGTCACCATGCCCAGCTAATTTTTTCTATATGTTTTTAGTTTGTCCAGCTAATTTCCTTCTATTTTTAATAGAGACAGGGGTCTCGCTCTTGCTCAGACTAGTCTCAAACTCCTGAGCTCAAATGATCCTCCGCCTGAGTCTCCCAGAGTGCTAGGATTACAGGCGTGAGCCACCATGCCTGCCCGGCTGGGAGAGAGAGCTCTTAACTCATTGTTGGGACTGAGGGAACTCAGGGTAGCTAGGGTTACCCTGGTTTTCAGGGTAAATAGGAGGCATGAAGAGCCTGTTCTGGGAGGAAAGCTCAGAAATGTGCTGGTTGTAGATAGAGGTGAGGGAAAACGAGGCATTTTCCCAGAGGTGGTGTATTCAGCAGCCCCCTCCCCACTGGCCGCACCCCTCTGGCCTGGGCCATAATGGCTTTACTAGCACAGCCTCTCTCCTGGCCTCTGCAATTTCCCAAGGCATTTCTGGTGTCCTTTGGGAGTGGGACCATGTGAGTTTTGAAAGAAACTATGGTGAAAATAGACCGTGACCTAAGGGTGGGGCAGGGGGAGGCCTGCTGGGTGCTGATGTCTGGCAGCCCAGGGCATTCTGGTCTGGGCTCTGTGAGGAGGAGTCCCAGCCAGGGGGCCCCTGCAAGCACAGCCCCAGGAGGACCAGGGAGCTATTTGGGGAAAGTCCCTGGGGTTTCTAGAACTTAAAGAATTCTGAGGTTTGCATTTACCCCTGGCTGTGCTTGGAGCAGCCCTAACCTACTTCTTTATTCTGGAAATCATTCTTGGTGTTGAAAGGAAAACTGGGAGAAAGGGAGCTTTAGGAAAATAGAAACAAACAAAAAGCAGAAGAGCTATGTGGCCTTAATCAGCTGTCCAAGGCGGAATTTGTAAACTTTTGTCAAAATTTCTCTGTGTAATCTTTTCAGAAGTCATGAAAGAACAAGGAGGTTATCTTGCTCCCAAGGAGGTTATTCTTGCCTGTAAAAAAAATGAGTAAAGTGGCCGTAGAAGTTTGGTCTTCTCTGGGCAGTTTTGGGCCTGAGAGCCTATCTCCTAAGCTAAACACAGTCTGAGGAAAGTCCTTCCTGCCTGCAGGCACTGGTCCCAAGCAAGGATGATTTTTTATTTTTGAGACAGAGTCTCACTCTGTTGCCTGGACTACAGTGAGTGCTGTGGCGTCAGCCTAGCTCACAGCAACCTCAAACTCCTGGGTTCAAGCGTCCTCCCCCTCAGCCTCCCGATTAGCTGGGACTACAGGCATGCGCCACCATGCCCGGCTACAGGGATGCTGTTGTCACAGGTCCAGACTGTGACAGTGGGACTCGGCTCAGCTGGCCCACTGGCAATCCTCGCGTCCTGGATTCAGCTTTCTCAGCTATTGCCCCCAACTTGGCGCACACTCCCCTCTGGAGCTCAGAGCCCAACAGGGAGGAAAACAAGTGTGTTGACAAGAATCTCACCGAAGTGTAGTTTATTAAGATGTAATGTATTGGGGAGCAACGGGGTGTCCCAGTTGGGGGCTAAGCCAGGCAGATTTCTGGGGAAGGCATCACGGAAATCACTGCCTGAGCTCCACACTGGGTGCTCCCGGCCCCCCGCAAGGTGAGGCACCAGCCGTGAGGAGCACAGCCCGTGCCCTGGCCCAGGCTCCAAGTGCCAAGTGACCACAACTCAGGACTCCTGCAACTTCCCCTCCTAGCCTCATCTCTTCTCTGGTTTCCTCCCACAACAGTTTGACTTTGGGGACACCATGGTCCACCAGGCCATCCACACCATCGAGTACTGCCTGGGCTGCATCTCCAACACCGCCTCCTACCTTCGGCTCTGGGCCCTCAGCCTTGCTCATGCACGTGAGTGTGTCTCTCTCCTCCAGAGCTATGGGTCTCCCCTTCCGTGGGCACTCCCTCAGCAGGGGGCTTAAATAGAGTGGAAATCACATAAAAGTTCTGGAATTATCGAGCCTCCTGAATCCAGAGAGAATGAGTACAGACAGGAGGCTTAGCCTTATGCCAAGTTAGTTCTGCATGGTGTTCCCACTAAGGCCATGGGAAGCCGGGGTGCAAGGAGCCCTACAGGTGAGGGATGGTGGAGCAAAGTACACGGCCCACAGCCACCTCTTGCCAGACTAAACCGGCTGTTGTCTCCCGTTCCCCAGAGCTGTCTGAGGTGCTTTGGACCATGGTGATCCACATTGGCCTGAGCGTGAAGAGCTTGGCGGGAGGTCTGGCACTTTTCTTCATCTTCACCGCCTTTGCCACCCTGACCGTGGCCATCCTCCTGATCATGGAGGGCCTCTCAGCCTTCCTCCACGCGCTGCGGTTACACTGGTGAGGGGCACTGGGGCTGGGGGAGGTGGCATGGTGGGCGTCTGGCAGGGGACATGTCCTTAGCTGCAGAGAGAGGGCACCGCACTAGCTTCACCTCAGGACACCAGAGCCCCAGCCTTGGTAGTGAGCAACAGAAACTGGCCACAGAAGAGCACAGCTCACCGTTTCCTAGGTTCTAGGGAGCAGTCCCTGGTGAGTAGTCCTGCCTTCAGCAGTCTCTGGAGCTCTCAATTATGGCTTAAAAGAGCTGCTGAGGTCTTGTGGGTTTTGTTTGTTGGAGGGTTTTTGTTTTTGTTCTTTGCTCTGGTAAGTAACTTTCCTGTGTCCAGAACAATGAAAGCAGTTCTGGAATAGACTTTTTTGTTTGTTTGTTTTGTTGGTCAATTAATTTCTTTCTATTTTTGGTAGAGATGGGGTCTCGCTCAGGCTGGTTTCGAACTCCTGACCTCGAGCATTCTGCCCGCCTTGGCCTCCCAGAGTGCTAGGATTACAGGCGTGAGCCACCACGCCCGGCCTGGAATAGACTATTAAGTCCAAGAAAGAGCTAGAGGACACTGCATCCCAGTCTTGTCCCCTTTGTTCTGTCATTATGCCAAGGGTCTTTGGGTAAGACCCCTGCAGCTCCATTGAGGGGCGAGGGAATTCCTAGTTCCATGGCATGGGGCTTGATACACCAAAGGCAGCTTCTTCAGAAGGGCAGGTTTGAGGGTTTTGTTTGTTTTCTTTAACATAGCATAGGACTCCCAGCAGCTCTGCATGGAGAGAGTTCAGTCTCGGAGTGGGAGAGCTGGGTTTGGGTCTGGGCTATGACCGTGACCTCAAACTAGGGTTGCCAGATTTAGCAAATAAAAACACAGGACACTCAGAATTTCAGATAAAAAATGAATAATTTTTTTAGTATGAGTATTTCCTAAGTGTGCATGGGACATACTTATGCTAATAGCTGGGCAGCCTGCATTTGGTCTGGCTGATCTGCCTCAAACTCCACCTTTTTGGATCTCCATTTCCTCCTTTATGTTGCGATTCCCTTCTTTCTGGGGATCTCAAACTCCAGTGTCTCTGGAAGCTCTGGACCCTGACCCTAGAGTAGCACTCACACCCAGCATTTCACAAGTGTCGGGGCCATAAACTCACTGCCCTACCTTGGCAACCCCTGGATGAGAAGCTCAGTGGTGCTCATGATCTCAAGGCCAGAAGAGGGCTTTGAACCTAGGTGACCTCTTCCCCTCTCATCTTTACCTTTGATTTTTCTCCTGGCTGGGTTACACATGGGCCTCCTCGAAGATTCCACTGTTGGTTATTCTTAATTATGGGGGTGAGAAGCGAGGCACGGAAGGGCGAGACGCGGCTGGGACGTACTCTTCCCTCAAAAGCTCCTGTGGGATTTGCCCTGCTGCGTCAGTAGACGTTGCTTTCCCTGGCCTGGCCACCTCCTTCCTGGCTGCCCTGCTGCCCAGCCAGCTCGGGTGTTTACTGCAGAGCCAGCAGGTTGGGGTGCTGCGCACTCCAGACTGCTGGCCCCGACCCCGTTCTCGGCTTGTCAGCCAGCCCTCTCCAGCACACTGCCTCAGCCCTCGCTCAGGACAAGGGAATGTCTGAGTCACCAGCCTGCAGTGACTCACTTTTCCTTGCCTTCTTAGCCACCTTCCTTTTCTGTTCACTTCTCTGTCACTTGAGCCCCTGGGGTCCAGGGAACAGAGTGACCACCCTACCTTGATTCCAGCCCACGTGGGTAGCCAGTTGCCTCCTCCCTGCGCAGGGTAGGCAGTGGCCAAGGCACTGGAGCAGAGGAAAGTCCTTGGGCTGGGACCTCATCTCCACAGTGAGCCGAGGCAGGTTCACATGTCATGTTGTGTTGCCAGATGCCTGCTTCCTCCTTAGGCTCATTGGCCTTCCAGTGACATGTAGTCCCACGTCCTGAATGGGCCCGAGGAGGTGATGAGTGACAGGAGAGCAGACTTCCAAATCAGGCAACCTAGTGTCAATCCCAGCTCTGCCACACTGGGCAGATGACCCCAAGCAGAGGACTCACCTCTATGAGCCTCTCTTTCTCTCCTAGGGAGGGGGACAATATCCGTGTGAGTTACAGTGAGCAATCACACCCCAAGTACCATCACACACCCCAGCACATCATAAACAGGTGTTTAAGTACAGATCATGTCTGCTCTGCTTAAAAGGCTGCCCTGTAGAGGGAGCATCTTGCTGGAGTCCCTCTTAAATAAACTGCTTTTAGCCTGTTTGGAGAGAGGGGAGACCCCCAAAAGGAGATACATGATACCATCTGAATCCCCCCAGGGTGTAGTTTGCAAGGAACAGGCTCGCAGTACATGTCGTACTTGTTAAAATGTATTTTTTTTTTTCTTTCCTTTGGCATCAAAGTGTTCAGTGGAGTTAAAATGTATTTGGGTAATAGAAGTTTGGGTAGGGGAGGGAAAACTCGTGCAACTTCCAGAGTCCCATCACTGGAGGGGTGGTCCCTGTGGCATGCTTGGGGTGTCTCTTCCTCAAGGAGTGAATGAAATTGGTGTTTGTGCGCCCCCTCCTGGCCAAATGCGGGTGTGTGTCACGGATGTTCTTCCAGGCCTGCCAGGACGGCTGTTCTGAGTCGTGGCCATCTTATGAGGCATGGGAACAGCTGGTCCGTGTGCAAATGGCCACAGGGATATTGCTGCTATTTTTCCTGGCGTGTGGCCTAGGCATCTTCACGCCTCTCACTTTATCCGTGGTGTTTCCTGACTCAAGGGCCTTTCCCTTACACAAGCTCTGGGTCTCTTCAGTAGGGACAAGAAGAAAAACATTTGATTTGGTAAACTATAAACCACTAGTCTGAGATTCACGTAGGGTCATTAGAAAGTGGGTGACGTATTTGAAAACATAGTGAGCAGGTTGATGTACTAATCTGCTAGTTCTGCCTCCTGAGTTATGTCCTCCCTCCCACCACATAAAGTGTGCTTGGCTTTCTTGCCTACCATAATTAGACATCTTTTCTTCCTCAGAAGGCAGAAGGCAAGAATATGATTGTAGTTATAATTAGACATCAAACTGATTTTTTTTTTTTTTTTGAGACAGAGTCTCACTCTGTTGCCCTGGCTAGAGTGAGTGCCATGGCGTCAGCCTAGCTCACAGCAACCTCAAACTCCTGGGCTCAAGCAATCCTCCTGCCTCAGCCTCCCGAGTAGCTGGGACTACAGGCATGAGCCACCATGCCCGGCTAATTTTTTCTGTATGTGTTACTTGGCCAATTAATTTTTTCCTATTTATAGTAGAGACGGGGTCTCGCTCTTGCTCAGGCTGGTTTCGAACTCCTGACCTTGAGCAATCCGCCCGCCTCGGCCTCCCAGAGTGCTAGGATTACAGGCGTGAGCCACCGTGCCCGGCCATCAAACTGATTTTTATGCAGAAAGATGATTGACCCTGGGCCTACCTTCCAGAGAACCTGGTCCTTTCTTATCTAGCAAGTCCACAAATGTGTAGATGTGCACACTTGTACACTCACAGATTGAATCATTGTCTGCCGCACTAGAAAAAAAGGTTTCTTTCTCCCTGAGGCCGCGGTGTTTTATTAAAACAAAAGGATCCTTTCTAATTTTTTTTTTATTGTTTTCTGTACCTGAGTGATATGCAACTCAATCCTTGTATTTAGAATTCAATTTAATATTAATTGTAACAATAAGAACATCAACAAGTAAGATTTTCATGAACCCACCTGCAGTGTTTTGCTTCATGTAGCCCAGGGCTCAAAACTAGCGTGAGTTAAATACAACTCACATGGCAGTCAGTGTGTTAAAGGAACAGAATTGGGGCCAGGCATAGTGGATCAGCCTATAATCCTAGCACTTTAGGAGGCAAAGGCAGCAAGATTATTTGGGGCCAGGAGTTTGAGACCAGCCTGAGCAAGAACAAGACCTAGTCTCTACAAAAAAAAAAAAAATTAGTGGGGCATGGTGGCACACACCTGTAGTCCTAGCTAGTCAGGAGGCTGAAGCAGGAGGATTGCTTGAGCCCAGGAATTTGAGGTTGCACTGAGATCTGATGTTGCCACTGCACTCTAGCCTGGGTGACAGAGCGAGATCCCACCTTAAAAAAAAGGAGAGAGAGACAGAAGTAAGAACCCCTGAAATGTACCTCCAGGCTGACATCATTGTCCTGACATCAGACAGATGTGTGTCCCAAGTCCTGAATTGCTCAGAATGGCAGAGAAGCAGGTCAGGCCAGAGCCGTCATTCCAAAACTGCCTTCCCTCAATCACACCCCCACAGGAAAGGGAAGAGGCCCAGGGCTCCTTCCCCCTTTAGCCATTCGAGGAAACAAGGGTTCCTGTTACGTGGCAGGAGTGATTTCTTTTGGTCCCAGTGAGTCCCTCTGAGTCAGCCAGTGGCCTTTGCCAAGTGCTGGAGCTGGAAGGGGTGACAGAAACCCATCTGACTTCCTGAGGTTCTCCTCACAACTGCTGGATTCTAGAGGCGCACTTCCATTGCCGAGGGCATGACACGAGCCTGCCAGCTCCCGGAACAGAGCAGTGGAGTGGCCCATAAAGAAGGAGGAATTTGCAGAGTGGCCAATGGGTCCCTCCTGACCCCAGCACAGAGACCTTCACGGCTGTACTTTCTCAGGAAGCCCATTTCCCTGGCTTGCAGGAGAGAGACTGCCAGGGAAGTTGCTTTCTAGCTTTGTGCTAGGAGCTTGGGGTGAGCACAGCCAGGGAGGGAGGTGGAGCCAGGCTCACCCCTAGATAGACCCAAGATTTCCCAGTTGTGGCCACCATAAGTCTGAACTCGAACAGCAGCTGGTGGGAGGAGCAGTATCGTTGTTGTGGCAGGGGGACCCCCTGTCTGCTCACAAGCAGAATTGCTATGCCCCCTCCCACGCATGTGTCCCTCTTCCTCCCCACTGGGCCCAGCGGGTGGGTGAGCAAAGCAGAGGGTGCCACAAGAAGGGTGGTGGCCCCACAGGTGTCTGAAAACAAAGCTTCTAGTCCATTTGCCAGCTTGGAAGTGAGAATTATTTGATTAGCCAGCCAGAGGAGCAGAGTTCTAGAAACAGCGCTGGGGTGGTGGGGGGCGCATACCCCACCAAGGCTGACATTCGTTCCTAGGTCACAGGCTGAGACCTTAAAGTGATTTGCCCACTATCTGGCTGTATATTGTTGAATGAAAAGGGGACACGTAAATCTATCTTAAGTTGTTCAGGAATATCCTTGCTGTGTGCGAACACAGCGTGTCCAACATGGAGAATTCACACCTAACAAAGTAGGCGAGAAGCAGCAACCTGCTCCCATGCCCCGAATTCCCCCAGAGGTGGCCTCAGTAGTGGAACTTGTAGAAGGACTTTTTGGGTGTGTTGGGATGCAAAGCAAATCTAGGTCCTGGTTTGGAACTGCTCCTGCAGGAGCCCTGGACTGACTGCATTTCGAAGCTCTGTCGCACTCCTCCTCTTGGCTCCTGTTTTCCCTGGGGGACCTTGGCCCAGCCGCTGCAGCTGTGGGGTGGGGAGAAAGCAGGCTGCTCTCCCTGCCTGCAGGGACGTCTGCTTCTCCTGCAGCTCTGCCACTCAGGGTCCTCAGCCCACACCCAGGGCTGAAGGGGCCTCTGAGGATCTCTGCCTACCACCGGCACACAGTCGTCCCAACCTTCAGGCCCCTGGCCACCTCCCACCTCCTCTTGTCTAATCCTGCCTCCTTGGCTTGGAGGGTAATGCCTGGCTGAAGGCTGCCTGAGAACTACAAGGTTCTTGAAGTCTTAAAGCTTCTTGAAGCTCTTGCCCCACGCGTGACCTGTCACCTGAAGCCTGTCACAGCTCCTACCCTGCCCATTCTTGCGGGGGTGGGGGGTGGTTATGAGGCCCCCAGGGTCACATAGCACCACATGGAAACTATTCCTCAGGTCAGCTCTCCTTGGCTTTTTTATCCTCTGAATCATGCATTTTTCTGCCCATATTTGGTGGTGGTTCGGTTGCTGGGCAGCCATCCAGGGTGAGATTGCCGGAGGAAGCGCAGCCTCGCTCTGCTCATGGGGGACAAAGTCCTGTGCTCCCTCCGAGTCCAAAAGGGCCCCAGAGGAGGCCATCAGGGAGGATGCTGAGTTGCTGAGACGGGAATCCAAGCTCTGTTTTTCCTTTTAGTCCCCAAGAGAAGAATTCTTTCTCAGATGTTTTTATGGTTGCAGAATACTTTTGCCATTGCTTTGAGAATACTTCCCCTCCTGACTTCCCCCCTTTCCTGGGAATTTCCTCTGCTAAATGGAAAGCATTGAGCATTCACTCCAAACCCCCTCTGCCACCCTCCCCACAGGAAAAGAAAGAGACTAGCAAACAGTGGTGTTGGCCCAGGGTCCCTCCAGGGGCTTCCCTTAGAGATGGGCTGTGTGAGTCCCTCCAGAAGGGGGCGATGGGACGCACTTCTTCATTAACGACATTGTTACCAGACTTAGGCAAACTGAAATTTTTTTTGCACGTGGCTCCTTACAAAGAGTTGTACTAAACACGCTGCTTGGCAGGACAGAGCAAGAGCAGGGACTAAGGACAAACCAGTCCTTCGTATGTTGAGCCCTTGCAGAGAGTGGGTCCTGGGCTTTAAAAGTGAGAGCTCTGCCCCGTGGGGAGTTGGCAGAGAACTGCGCCTGCTCCCGAGATTTCGGGCAAGGTGGGTGAGGGGCATCTTTCCAGCCCAACTGTGAAGTCCCCAAAAACATCAGAAAGTTTCTATGGAATGACAGCTTTCCTTTCCCCTTTCTCCAGGGTTGAGTTCCAGAATAAATTCTACAGTGGGACCGGTTTCAAGTTCCTGCCCTTCTCCTTCGAGAACATTCGGGAAGGGAAGTTTGAGGAGTGAACCCCTGCTAGGACTGTGCGCTCTGGCTGCCCTCCCTGCCTCCCTCCACAGTGACTGGTTGTGCTCCTTTGCCTGTTGGTTGTGATCCCTGGGCACCAGAGCATTTGTCACCCCCGTCTGTGAGTCATTTAGCTAGGACAGGTCCTCCATAGGCCTCCCGACACCCCCAGCTGTGTGTGTAGTGTAGTGATGTCCTGGAGAGAAGCTGGGCTCTGGCTGTCACTCACACTTGCTGGGCACCAGCTGTGCCCTCCTGGCCTCCAGCCAACCAGAGACAGCCCTTCTCCGTCCCTGGTGGGGAACCTGCCTGTGTGTTCACACACAGCCCTCTGGGCTCCCCACGCTCATCATGGATGGAAGGGGAACCAGTGCCACCCACATCTAGACTTTGAGTTGGTCCCCTGTACCTGTCACTGGTGGCAGTTGGGGGGTTGGGCACTACAGGTTCTCCCTCAGAAAGGGGACACTCTTCGACATGTCCCACCTTTGGGTAGCAGGGGTAGGTCCAGGAGGACGGTATTTTGTCCTTTGCCCACCCCCTTTGGGGCTTGTTAATCAGGAATTCAGCTGAATCCAACTGGGCCATCATGAGTTGCTTCTCCCCATCAGCCCCCAACCCTGCACTTCGACTCTCTCCCCCCTCTCCCCGTTTGCACCCAGCACGGTGTCACACAGCTGGGAGTGCCCTAGAACAGAGGTCTGGCTACCCGGCAGCACACAGGTCTTCCCTCCCTTGAGTTGGCTACTTCCCAGGCCTCGTGTGGGCGCTGCCTGCAGCCACATCCTCGGAGCAGGGTGTCTGGAGGGATGCTCCTGCCTGGCGGAGACCCTGAGACCTGCCCCCCACCCCCAATCATGATGTCTTGAGCGTCGGGCTGTGGTCAGCACGGCTGGTTCTGCCCGCAGCCTGCCTTGCTCTGCCCACCCACACCCTCTCCCCACTTCCACACTGATCTGGGTCTCAGGAGGGACGGCTTAGGCAGGGGAGGCCAGTGTCACAGGTGATTTAGACGGCAGGGCTGCCAGTGCATGTGGGAGTGAGGGCTGCACAGCCCTGCCAAGGGGCCACATGCCCTGTCACCCCCGCACCAGGCTGTGGATCTTAGAGCCTTCTAATCATGTATTGGTGCAGCAGCCCTGGCTGCCCGAGCCAAATTCGTGCCCACTGGCCTCCGTGGTAGCGGTAATCCCCCGAGTCAGCCAGGCCTGTGCCCTCCTCCCACCCTGGCTTTTCTGAGTGAGCTGCTTAGGGCTGCCAAGTGACTCTCCCAGCTGGCCTGACCCTGGGCATGGGCCACCCTGCCCCAGCTTCACTATGTGCTGGCCCGTTGTGACCTGACACTACCCGACCCTGTGCAGAGCCCCCTCCCCTCTTGCCCTGGGTTTACATGATGATTTTGCTCTGTTTACAGTAGGGCTCGAAGCAGAGTTCTCAGACAAGGAACACTGTCCAAGGCCCTTCTGTTCAGACATTCCTGTGCTGAATAAAGTGTTTGACTCTACCGGAGAGGCTACGTGTCTCTGTGCCCGCAGCACCTGTGTCGCTCTGGGCTCAGCTCTCCCAGAGCCGGCTGGGCTCCCCTCCACACCACCTCCTCCCCCAGCACGGCTGCTTTTCCTTCTGGTCAAAGGCCTGGGCTGCAGTTAGTTTGTGCAATTCTCACCTTATCTCAAGTTTCCCAGGCGCCTTCCCCCTCCCATGAGCCAAGGCAGCTTTGTGGACACCACCCCGTGAAGGAGCAGAGGGGCCTGTCTCCGTCTCCCCTGCTCCCCCTGCACATGCAGGCAGCCTGGGGAAGACAGTCCTGGGTGTTGCCACCCTCCCTGTCCCCACGCATGCTCTCTGGAGCCCAGCGGCCTGGCTATTTTGAGCCCTGAGCCCTTGGCATTGGTGTAAGTGGAGGCTCAGCCTGGGCTCCGCAGGGCGGCTGGAGAATGTGAGGAGCTGAGGTCGCACCCAGCAGCGAGGCCTTCTCCCCTCCTCCTGTCCTGGGAGGCACCACATTCCTTCTCTGTGCCCTGGTGCCCTCGCATTCCTCCCTCTAGGGTCCTCCAGGGCAGGGGCTGCCCTGAAATGTGAGCAGCAGGCTGACCACTGCTATCCCCGGAGGGGTGAGGAGGCCAGAACACCCTGTTCATTCCATGTTCCTTGTCCCATCTAGCCTCAGAGCCCTCTCTCCTCCCTGATGGTGTCACCTGCCCCTGGAGTAGGCAGCCCTGGGGTGCCCACCCCCACCTCAGATAAAAGGTCCAGAGTGACTCTCTCTGGTCAATGAGCTCCTTTAGCCTCTGCTCAGTGATTGACTGAAAAGGGGAGGCCTAATAAGAATAGACATTTAGTCAATGGAATAGAAGTGAGAGTCCAGGAGTAAATCCTAACATTTAGGGTCACTTGATTTTTGACAAAGGGGCCAAGCTGATTCAACAAGGAAAGAACTGTCTTTTCAACAAATGGTACTGGAACAACCAGCTATCTGCATGCAAAGGAACGAATTTGGACCACTCCCCCACACCACACACAAAAATTAACTTCTGGTGGGGCTGGGCACAGTGGCTCATGCCTGTAATCCCAGCACTTTGGGAGGCTGAGGCCGGAGGATTGCTTGAGGCCAGGAGTTCGAGACCAGCCTGCGCAACATAGTGAGACTTTTTCTCTACAAAAAAAAAAAATTTAGGAATTAGCCAGTCATGGTGGTACACGCCTGTAGTTCCAGCAACTAAGGAAGCTGAGGCAGGAGGATCACTTGAGCCCAGGAATTGGAGGTTGAAGTGAGCTACGATGATGCCACTATACCTTAACCAAGGTGACAGACCGAGACTCCATCTCAACAAAAATAAATAAAAATGAAAAACAAACCACAATGAGATGCCACATCACTCACACTAAAAAAGCTATAACAGGACAACTGCAAAGGTTGACAAGGAGAAATCGGAACCCAGTTCACTGCTGGTGGGAGTGCGAAATGGAGCGCTGCTTTGGAAAGCAGTCTGGCAGTTCCTCAAAATGTTAAACGCAGAATGATATAAGACCCAGCAATTCCACTTTTAGGTATCTACCCAAGAAAAAGAAAATGTACCCACAAAAGCTTGTACGCAAATGTTCATGGCTATTATTAATAATTGTCCAAAAATAGAAAAAGCCCAAATGTTCACTAGCTAATGAATAGAAGTAAAAGTTGGTATATCCATAACAATGAATAATATCCTATAAGAAAAGGGAATGAAGTATTGATACTAGCTACAATACGAATGGACCTCAAAAACTTAGTTTCTGGCCTGGCATGGTGGCTCACACCTGTAATCCTAGCATTCTGGGAGGCTGAGGCAGGAGGATCACTTGAGCCCAGGAGTTTGAGGTTGCTGTGAGTTAGGCTGAGGCCACGGCACTCTAGCTGGGGCAAGAGTGAGACTCTGTCTCAGAAAAAAAAGAAAGAAAGAAAAACATATTGTATGATTCCATTTATGTGAAATGCCTACAATAGGCAAATCCATAGAGACAGGAAGAATGTTGGTGGGTGCCAGGGGCGGATGCTGGGTGGGGCTGGGGAGTGGCTGCTAATGGGTACAGGTTCTTTGTGGGATGAGGAAAACGTGAAGTTAGACTGGTGGTTGCACAATTCTATGAATATACTAAAAACTATTGAATTTTATACTTTAAATTGGTAAATTTTATGGTATATAATCTCAATGAAATGGGAAGAGGAGAGATGCCTAGGGCATTCTTTGGAAGAGATTCCTCCCTCCTGTGGCTGACAAGACCTGGGGAGGGAGCGGGGCCAGTAGGTTCTTGGCTAAGCTGAATTCTCAGAATCTAGTGGCCTTGGGCTGCTTCCAGCCCAGCCAGCTAAAGTTAGACCCAGGGAGACTGGGCCTCAGAGTGTGTGGAAGTCCCAGAACCCTGGGGTGGGGTAAGGAACACATGGATTCCTTGCTCCTGTTTTTAAGGGACTTGCCCTTTACCCTGACCCCTTCTTGTGAAATCCCTGGACCCCAGGGAATGCCCCTCATCTTGAGATCTTAGAACCAGCCTGGGAGAGGGTGCTTTGGGCCTGCCTGGCTTGGGGAGTCCCAGCCTTTGTAGAGACAGGGCACAATTCCAACACCACCTTTGCTCAGTGGGACTGCGCTTCTGTCTGCCCCAGGAGCTTTGGGTAGAAGGGGCATTGGCGCTCAAAAACGGCTGACAGTCTCTGCCCTTCAGATCAGAGCTCCCCCGCCTTCCCAAGGCATGCCCCTAGGTGTGGCTGCCCCCTGGTGGCCAGACAGGAAAGGACGCGTTCCTCCTCAGGAAGGTCAGGGAAGATCCTAGCTGGGCTGACAGGCCACTGGATTGGCACGCCAAAGAGGGAGAGGCAACTCTGGAAGTGTGCTGGGGTTTGGGCAGAGGGACGGCCCGGCCAGCAGCAAAGGACGGGGTGAGATGGAGAGCACAGTGCCCCGACAACTTGCTTCACAACGTTAATTGAAAAAGTAGGGGCCGAAAAAAGATGGCGGATGAGAAACACTGCCAGACAGAGTGTCTCTGCAGAAAAGATAGATTCTAGCAGAAATCAGAAGAAAGAAGCAAGAAGACGAGCCTACATCGGATGAGGGTCGGAAGGAGGAGTACCTGAGACCCCGGGAGACTCCACGGGAGGAGGTCACGGAAGAGAACTGGAAGCTGAGACCGCCGGAGCAGCCCGGAGACCAGCAGGAAGTATCGGCCATTTCCCCTCCCCTGCATCCCGGACTGCTGATGGGCTCCCCAGCGAGTGGAGAGACCTGTGGACACCAGCCCAGCGACGGCCACTGCCAGTGAGCAGTAAGCCAGTGGCGGACGCGGCACCGGGCCCCCAACTCTCTCGGGGCACCTCCGTGTGCACAGACCCGAGCCACGTGGCAGACGCCATATTGCCTCCTCCTCCTCTCCCCCTACCCTACCCGCGGCTGCTGGAGGCACCTACAGGGAACGGGACCTTCCCTCTTGGGGCCCTACAGCTGACTAAGGGGAACTCAGACTGTGAGCTCCCTACCTGCCAGCCCTCCCAGGTGCTGCTGGCACGGTGATCCCAGGAGAACGGGGCAGACTCTGAGGTTGAGAGACATAGACGCAGCTTGGGCTCCCTGTGGGTGAATTGGGACTGGCACTGCTCTCCCTGGGTGGGGATATAGTTTGAACTCTGGGACCCAGAGGTCAGAAGTGCAGACTACATCCCGTGCACCGAGGCCTCGCATTGCCTGGGGCACAGAAGGGATATTTGTGAACAGCCTACTGCCGTGTGTGTGCCTTCAGGGGCAGATCAGCGTCCTAGAGGGCAACCCTCCCCCCAAAGGGAGGCCCTGCACCCAGCCCAGGTGGCGTTCTGCATAGGGAACCTCCCCGCAGGTAGCACAGCCAGGGGAGGAGTGGTGGCGTGTGGTCTGGCCTGCGGGCAGAGGCACAGCAGTAGCTGCAGAGTTGGGGACGGTGGAAAGAAGCCAGGCCCGCTCCAGACTGTGAGTCTCAGACAGCCCCATCCCCACACGCAGACTCTGACTGAGCCGGGCCATTCCAGCCCCGACCTGAAAGCTTTGCCTGGAAGCAGAGAACAGAACTTTGACCCCTGCTAACGACATTGGTGTTGCCTGAGGGCAGGCTTACCCAACCCAGCTCTGCCCAGACTCTCTCCTAGACTAGCCCTCACTGAAGGGGAGAAAAGGACACACCTGGAAGTCCCAGGGCCCACCCACCACCTGAGGCACTAGAGTTCTCTCTACAGGAACAAGAGCTGATAACAGGGCATGAAAACAACAGTGTAGCCAGTTCCTCCAAACAAGCGCCACCTACTGACAGGGAGAGCACCCTGCAAACCCTTATCAGGATAGGGAGTGGACGAATCTCACCCACAGACACACCTTCCGGCTCAGAACTAAACAAGGCTGTGAATACCCAAACAAAAACCTAAAGAAAAGAACAACAACTGATCGATATGGGAAATCAGTGAAGGAACTCAGGAAATATGAAAACACAAACGGAAAACTCTCCCCAAAGAGGAGCCCCAGCCCCCTAGAAATCGGGCACACAAAATGACAGAAGAGGAAATTTCGTCTGTGGATCATAAGAACACTCACCGAGCTGCAACAACAACTCAATAACCAACAAAGAAACCACAAAAAGCCTCCAGGATCTGGAAAAGAAATGGACACAATGGAAGAAAAGTTTAACCGAACTCCTGGAAATAGAAGAATCAATTCAAGGAACTACAAATACAGTGGAAAGTCTCAAAAACAGGGTAGATCAAACAGAAGAAAGAATCTCAGAGCTGAAGATAAACCCTCCAATTAAATAAAGTCAGTCACAGAAATAGAGCAGAGAAACAAGAGAAAAGAGCAAAAGCCTACAAGAGCTGTGGATTATGTGAAGAAACCTAACTGAGGGTCACAGGGTTACCAGAAGGGGAGAAGATAACACTCCAAGCGGTGGACAAGCTGTTTGAAGATATAATAGAGGAAAATTTCCCAGGCCTTGCTCAAAATCTTGATA